AGAGGAAACCGGGCGAAAAACACAGCCCGAGATCCCACGCGTGTGCAGGAACCCCGCTTCTACCGCCCGCGTGCCTCGAAGACTCGCCAGACGGGAACTACAAGTCCCAGGATACGCCACGCGCCTAAGGGGTGGGGCGCCATAAAGGGCGATTCCCATTGGCCTACGCGCCCAAAGACGGCGAAGGAGAAAAAACCCGGATGGAGGCGGCAGTTAGGGATGGGACGAATTTGAGGTCCTTGGCCTCGCACAACTAAAAGTTTCCTCCCACATGGGACATGGAAAGGCGCCAGGCCAGACGAACTGGTCACCCGCTGTCGATGGCCGCCTGGGCCCGAGGTTACCCACCGATAGACCTGTGACTCCCGCTGGCAACGCCGCGGCTGCGTCCCTCGAACACCAAAACTTCCTTTCCTAGCCCGGCCTTTGCCTTTCGATAAGCCAATCCCCGGGGAGGAAGTTCGGTCGCTAGGCCAATCAGAACAAGCGTTGTCCCTGGACTCAGGTTTTGCCAATCAAAGGGACATTCGTATTCCCGCTTCGGCAGGAGGCCCCGCCCCCTGGCCCTTCGCCTTCCTCTGCGCCAATCAACGAAGGTTACAAGCTTCTTGCCAATAGGGGCGCGGTACCCGCTTGCAGTCACTTCCGGAGGCGGTCCTTTGAAAACCCACCTCTTCCCCATGGGCTGGCCGTCTTCTATCACGTGATCGTTACGGGGGCGGGCACGTGCTGCAAGTGCTCCCACGTGACAGGGCGGGACGGCGTGTGGGAGCCGCCATTTTGCGCCACAGAAAGTCGCGTTTTATTTTAGAAACGTCCCGTTCCTTGTCGTGGTGGTGTCCAGACTGCCCCCGGGCCTGGGTTCTCCCCCACACAGATGTTTCCTGTGGCCTTCTAGTTCCAGGATCTGCGCCCCAGCTAGGCCTTGTTCCCTTCCGGCTTGACCTGTTGACCCCTCGCGTTAAGGTCAGCTGGAAAGGGGCTGGGTTCCCCTGTACTAGCCCCGGGCTCGCATGTGTAGGCCCTTTCCTCCGGGTCGTGTCCTGACTCGCGGGCGTCCCTCTGCAGCCCCGAGAATTCACTCCTAAACTTTCCCGGTGTAGACCCAGCTCGCGCCACAGCTCGGGATCCGGACTTTAGTTCCGCGAGACTTGGGTGGTGTCAGGTGTTAGAGCCCTGGCTTCCTAACCCCCGCGTTGACACCTTTGTAAGACTTCATCTCAGAGACTTAAACGTTTTCGTCTCCTGCCCTCAACCTCTCCTGTAGGCCCCCAATATGGCTTCTGCCTGCTCTCCATCCCTGCATCCCCCGGGCTCTCCTCCGAGGACCCCGGAACCTCCACCGCCGAGCACCCCGGACGGGGCTTTTGCAATCCCTCCCCGGAGCCTCCAGGCCCCCGTTCCCCCGCCGCCGCCGCCGCCTCCCCCAATGGCTGCTGCCACCTTGGGGACCTCTCCGCCTCACGTCTTCGGCCTGCAGAAGAGCCGACTCCTGCAGGAGGCCTGGGCGAGGGCCGGCCCGGTCCCGTCGGGCAGAGAGGACGTGAGGAGGCTGCTGAGGCTGCGCAAGGACCGGTAGGGGCCCCGCGCCCCGCGCATACACACGCTGGACACACCCCACCCCCTGCACCCCTTCGCTTCTAGGAACATTGCCTGGACATACAGACAGGTTCTGATGGCTTCAGTCACCAGCCCAGCACAGCCGAAGGCAGTGGGAGCCCCCAGCAGTAAAGGTCCCCCTGCAAATGCCTGTTCCTCTTTGGGCATGCATGGCTGCCCAGGGAGCTAGGCCATTTGTGGGCGGTGGAGGTCCTGCCACCTCGCAGTCTAGGGAGCAGTTCTCTGGCTGTGCCACAGCCAGGCTGGGTCCCTTTCCCCTGCCCAGATGCCCTACTGCAACTAGACCGCGGGAGGGGCGGGGACACACCCTGGTGACCCCCACCCTGGTGACCCCAGCCTGTTTTCTGCCCCAGCTTCCGCAGTGACCTGCAGTGGATCCTGTTCTGCGTCGACCTTCCTTCCTGCATCCAGGAAGGCCCTCAGTAGGTGCCCCAGGCTGGGCTCCCCCAGTGACCATGGGAGGGGGTAAATGGGACAGCCCAGGGAGGGAGAGGTGGGGGGCCCGCGCGGGGACATCAAGGCCACGGTACAGCATGGGAAACAGCTGGACTGCATGAGCAAGGGGATTACCAAACCAGCCTGGGCCATGTCCCCGCCCCATGGTTGTCCACCTCTGTGGGGGACTCTGTCCCACCTGGCAGGGTACGTGGTGGAAGGCCCAGCAGAGCAGGCCTTAGGGCTGAGTTCCCCGGGCCATCCCTCCCCAGGTGTGGGCTGGTGGCCCTGTGGATGGCGGGCACTCTGCTGTCACCCCCCAATGGGGTTCCTCTGGAGAAGTTGGTGCAGGTGGCCATGGAGAGGGGCTACACAGCCCAGGGAGAGATGTTCTCTGGTGAGTGAGGGGGGCTGGCTACTTCACTTGGGCCCTCTGTGCCTTACTCTGTCTACACCACGATGAAGTCCCCATCCCCCAGCAGCCTCTCCGTGTCCCCCCATCCCACAGTGGCCAACATGGGCCGGCTGGCACGGGAGGCGCTGGGCTGCCAGGCTGAGCTGCTCTCAGGGGGCCTGGGCGGGACCAACAAAGAACTGGTCCTGCAGCACCTGGTCTCCGGACACCCCGTGCTCATCCCGTATCCAAGTGCGGTGCCCGGAACGGAGCGGGGCAGGGGTGGCAGAGGGCAGCCCCCCATCATGCCGTGAGTTTGGCCTTAATGCCAGCACATCAGCTACGATGAGGACTTCAACCACGAGCCGTGCCGGAGGAAGGGCCATAAAGCCCACTGGGCTGTCAGCGCAGGTGGGTGTCCCTGCTCTCCGTGCCCACCTAGTCCCCGGGGACTCGTTCACCTTCACCCTGCCAGGCCATGTGTGCCACTCGCCTCCCTGGGGCTAACTGAAAACCTGTTGGGAGGCAACAGGTGTCCCGAGTGTCTGCCCAGGGCTCAGGCTTGTAGGGTCAGGTGGGCGCTGGGCCCAACCCCGTCCAGGCTCTGAGTTTGCGCAACAGGGCGCCTCTCTGGCCTCCATTTGAGATCTGAGAGGATGGGAGCTCCCTGGGAGCAGCGCCTGTCATGGGGCGTGTCCCCGTGAGTGTTTGTGATTCCATCTCTGCCCACGTGCCTACCTGGGGTCAAGGCCACAGGGCGCTGCAGGTGCCCCTCTGGTCACTCCTGGACAGTGGGAGGCGAGCAGTATCCCCATGCTGGCCGTGCTGTCTGCGACTTCAGAGCAGGTGCTAACAGCATGCCTATGATCCCCACTGACCTCCCCGTGGCCTAGGGACCAGCAGGTCCTCGTGGGCAGCTATTGACACCCTGTTTCCCCCAGGAGTCCTGCTGGGTGTGTCTCACACGCCAAGCCACAGCTACACCGAGGACCCTGAGCTGCCTGGCCTGTTCCACCCGGTGTCCGGTATGCCCTGCCAGCTACTGGTCCTGCCAGGGGAGGTTGCCCCAGGAGCCACTTATCTTCTCTGCAAGCAGGGCAAGAGTTGGAACTACCAGCTGTGGGACTATGACCAGGTCCAGGAGAGCAACCTGCAGCTCACTGACTTCTCGCCCTTGCGGGCTGCCGACGGCCAGACATACGTGGTGCCCACTGGTGGGGTGCAGGCCGGCCTCTGTGGCCAGGCCCTGCTCCTCAGGCCACGGGACTCCAGCCCGTAGCTGGAGCTGTCACTGCTTGGAGCGTTCCAGTCTGTCCCTTAGGGCCTTCAGCAGCTTGAGCACTGCCTGGCCCCACCTGGGAGGAACCCCTCAGACCCCACACCCCGTGCACTGCACCTGGACATCACGTCTACCCCTTCCGCGCCTGAGCCACTGCCACCCTGACCCCTGCCTGCCTGCCAAGTCAGCTTGCTGCTCAGCTCGACTCACATACCATACCCTCAGGGAAGGCCCCCTCGGCTTCAAGCTGGGCACCCCTGCCCCAGGCAGCCTCAGGTGTGACCTCTGCTCACCAGCTCAGCAGCTCCGGCCTTGCAAGGAGCTACTAGATGCCACCCGTTGGACAGATGGCAAGACTGAGGCCTGGAGGGTGGCCAATGGCCTCAGGTCATATGGCTGACAGGTGGCAGGGCCAGAATTCAAACCAGACTTGGCTTGCCACAGCCAAGCCACCTGCTACGCCTTGAACTCCCTGGTGCTGACCACAAACTGCTTTGTCTGTAGTCACAGACCCATGTGAAAGGCATACATCTAGTAATTGGTAGAAAATGAGATTTTTAAAATTTATTTTGATAGAAACACCTCTGAAATCCACACAGGGTCGGCGTTTCCATGGCCTTTCTGGAGCTCCCTCCTGTGCCTGGGTTTCAGCATTTTTGCACCAGAATAAACGTAGCCTTTTGAATAATGTGTGTGTGTGTGTGTGTGTTTTTGTGTGTGTGTGTGTGTTTTTGTGTGTGTGTGTGTGTGTGTGTGTAACAGAGAGGCAGAGAATTAGTTTAACGAGTACCTGTCTCCTCCATCCTGTAAGGTGGGGTATGCCTGTCCCAGCACCCAGCCGAGGATCTCCTAGGTAGCCACCTGGGGGGCAGGTCCTCCCCACTGGGTGACGTGAGAAAAGGGGTCCTGGGGGGAGGGCTGTCCCCATGTTATCCAGCATAGAGCCAGACCCAAGCAGGACAGTTCAGTGGGTGCCATGTGGGGAGGCCATGGCTTGCTTCCCCATCCCATGGCTGCCCAGCACTGGGGTGCAGTCATAAGCCTGAGCTTACACCCCCACACTGGGAGGCGCAGGAAAGCCCTCAGCCCTCCTGTGGCCAGCCCTGGCTGACACTACCCTCAGATAGTGTATGGGTGGGGAGGGGCTGGGAGGCCATCACCATGCCAGGGGAGAGGCATGTGCTACCTGAGCCCACCCTCCAGGGATGGGAGGCCCAGCACAAGTGGGGTATACCCCAGGGTCTAGGAGTCCCTGCCCTGGTCAGGGCCACAGCTGCACGTTCCCCTGCAGGAGCCTTAGGTCCAGGCACTGTAGTCTGCCAGGAGGAAACACACAGGGACCATGTGTCCTGGCACAAAGGACAAAGTCCTGGGGCTGAAGGTGCCAGAGGGCAGAGTGCGGCTGCTGGTCCGCAGAATCCACGGGAGGAGCACACCAGCCCTGGCAGGGCAGCTGGCCGGGGAGCCCCACCCTCGGCCCGCCTGCAGCACCGACCCTAGGCCAGAGGCGACACTCTGTGCGCGCAGTGTCCTCACTAAATCAGGAGACAAGTGGCTCTTGCATTTGATCATGAGCGACGCTGTGGTCCTCACGGTCACGCCTGCACCCTCTAACAGCTGAGGTGGGCTCTTGGCTGGTGTCGTTCAGTGGAGGCTGCCGGTGGCCCCTCCGTAACCTGTGGTCCGGGGACTGATCTGGTTCGGCTGGCTGGCATGACCTCGCCTGCACGTGTTGTGGTATCGTGGAGGCCTTCAACCTCTCCCATCCTGGAGGTCGCTGCCCCACTTGCCACACTCAGGCCCCCGTTGCATGTGGGGTTCCTCTGGCTGGAGCGGCCCCATCCGGTGAATGAGCCAGGCATGCTGGGAGGGTCAGCTACGGGCCAGCCCCTGTAGGAGGTGGATCATGTTGTCCAGGCCCCACAGGTAACCATCCTCATGGTTGCCCTCGGCCCAGGGCAGTCGGTGGCTGAGGGTCTGGTGGGCAGGCAGGGCCACTGTCTTGCCGAAGTCAATCATCCACACCTTGGCCAGGCCCGAGCGGTCGTGCACAAAGAGCAGGGAGCTGCCCACCACCTGCAGGGGAGAGCCGGGGAGATCACGGCGGGGCGGGTGGCTGCCCGCAGGAACCCTGAAGCTGAGGCACCTTGGCCCACACCACGCTCCGCCTGCGGTGGAGAGCCGCGGTCACAGCGGTGGTGGGGGTGGGGGGAGGCTGCCCGCAAGAATCCCAGAGCTGAGCTGCCTCAGCGCCAGGCTCCACCTGCCCGCTGCGGCTCAGGAAGCGGGGGCTGGGAGCCCTGTGTGGTTGTGCCTCCTCAGATACAAAGTGAGATTCACAGTCCTCAGTGGATGCCACAGTTAGCAACAGCAGCTGCTTCCCCTTTGCCTACCTGCAGGTGTGCAAGACTCCCTTTTTCTAAATCAGGTATCAAGCCCCACTGCTCCCAAATAGCTCTACCCTGGGTAGGTGGGCAGCAGTTGACAGGCAGAGCATGGGGCTGGCGCGGTGGGGTAGCATGCTAATCCGCTGCCTGCAGTGTGGCATCCCCTATGGGCACTGCTTCATCTCCCAGCTGCTCCACTTCTGATCCAACTCCCTGCTTGTGGCCTGGGAGAGCAGCAGAGGATGACCATACTGCTGGGGCTCCTGCACCCAGGTGGGAGAACTAGGAAGCTCGAGCTACTGGCTTTGGACAGGCCAATCTGGCCATTGCAATCAGATGGGGAGGGAACCAGAGGATGGAAGACCCCACCCTCCACCTCCATCTCAACCTTTCTAATTCTTTCAAGTAAAAATAAGTCTAAAAAAAACAAAAACAAAAGAGGCAGTGTGTGCCCAGTGAGGACAGCCTGGAGTGGCCAGGAAAATGGAAGTACCTATTTGGCTGTGAAGGCTCACATTTTAAATGTGGCAAATTAATATTCAAAATGTTGGGTTGGGCTGGCAGGCAAAACCAAGCATGAAGGCAGCAGTCCTGTGCATTCCCAGGTGTCCACTTTGCCACTTTTGTCGCAGGTCTGAAGGCCTTGTCAGAGTGACACTTGGTAAAAGCAAAGACACTAACAGCAGCCGCACACACAGGCATGGGGGGGCAGGTACAGCTGTGACCTCCTCCCGAAGGCACGGAGCCCGAGGCCTCCGGAACAGCCGGCCAGGGAGGGGCAGGGTTGGGTCCTCAGACTCTCGGGCCAGCCAGTGACATCAGGAAGAGGCAACAGGGAGACCAGAGGGTTGTGACCAGCTCAGACTTGGGGACACAACCCCAAGAGGCACAGTTGGGCAGGGAAGGGAGACTGCAGGTGCAGAGCCATCCCTGTAGGTCACCTGAGAGACATACTGGTGAGAGCCTCCCCAAGGCCTTCAGGCCTGGGCAGCCCTGGGATTGTGGGGGGCAGAAGCAGGTGGCAGAGTCATATGCCCAGAGTGGTCCTCAATCCAGCTCCGGAACCCTCTCTCCACTGAGACACCCTCGATGGCGTCGCACAGGTGGGTGCCTCCTTCCCCCGGCTGCGGCCGCTGTCACCCACAGCGTCCTCTCCGTGCCACACCCCCCTCCCGCCCCCAGACCGGGGACCTGCAGACGGCACAGTGGCCGGAGCTCGCACCTCGTGAGTCCTGAAGAAGGGGGACTGCTCCAGAGTGTCGCGGAGCTGCTCCAGGCGGGCCACGTACTTTCTCTGTGTGTTGAAGGAGGGACCGTAGTGAGTCGCTTGCCCCAGTGCAGTGAGCGGCACCCAGCCAGGATGGGGCAGCAGGGTGGAGGCACTGCAGTGTGGTAGCCTAGTTACATCCTCCTCCTCACCCCCCCGAACCTGAGCACCTCCCCACAGCCCGTTCATCTTGGCCTGGTCACATGATTTGCTGGACTCCAGCAGAACATGGCAGGAATGGCAGTGGCCATTCTGAGCCCCAGTGTTATGAGGTCTTACGTATTCCCTTGCTCTTCGTCCTTTGATTTTACTGTGAGAACAAACCCTGCTTTGCCTGCGGATCTTGAGCCATATTCGGTCCAGCCCTCAGGCCAGGCAGTGAGCTGGGGCAGGCATCTGGTGCAGTAGTTAACAAGCACCTTGGAAGGCCAGTCGTGAGACAGCATGCCAAGCCTCCCCTGTAACACCTGCATCCCATCAGAGTACCAGCTCCAGGCTCTACTTCCCATCCAGCTCTCTGCTAAGGCAGCACAAGATGCCCCAAGTCCCTGAGTGCCCGCTGCCCACATGAGTGACCTGGATGGAGTTCCAGGCTCCTGGCTTCAGCCTGGTCCAGCCTTAGCACTTGAGGCCAAACCAGCAGATAGAAGATCTCTCTGCCTCTCTCCCTCTTTCTCTGTAATTCTGCCTTTCAAATAAAGAAACCACTTGGGACACCGCATCTCATACCAGAGTGCCTGGGTTTCCACCCGGCGCAGCTCTGATTCTGCTTCCCAGTGGTACACATGTGGGCGGCAATAGGTAATGGCTGCGATTCTAGGCTCCTGGCTTCAGCCCGGTCTAACCATGTGGGCCGCCCAGCCCCAGCCAGCCCCTGGGCGTCCCCAGCACAAGCAGGGCCACCCAGCCCCAACCAGCCTGACTCTCTAGGAGCGGCCATGTCCTGGCCAGGTCCTGCACTCACCAAGACCCCGGGGTCTCTATCCACAAAGTCCTCCAGCACCTGGGTCACCTGCTCCAGCGCCTGCGTCTTCTTAAAGTTGGTGTTGCAGGTCCCATCAGCCTTCTGCAGGACAAAGGACGGGGACAGTCCTGTCACACCTTCCCTCCCCCGGCCCCCCACTAGCCCCCGGCTGCCCAGTGGCCCTCACAGCTGCTTGCTGTTCAGGAACAGCCAGGCCACCTGCCTGCTGCAGCACATAGCCAAGGAACCAGGCCTCCCACACCTGACCGAGCCCTCCACTGGCTGTGCTGGGTGTCAGTGGGATGTAGGGGGCAGGGTTAGGGGGTGTGGTAGACTTGTTTTTTTTATTGCAACTTGGCTACTCTCTAGTTTGGCCATCCTACCCTAAGCAAGTGCTTCACCTGTCCCAACCTCGGTTTGCTCATCTGGAAAGCGGGGAGCATGTTGGTCCCTACATCCTAGATGCAGGTGGACCCCGTGTGTGCTACACAGCATGCGGGCATGGGCTGGGCGCACTGCTGGGGTTGGACAGTGTCCCAGAGAGGCCTCCGAGTGCTTCTGCCACATGGTACCAGGTGCTGCTACGGGGGTCCTGGTGACGTGGAGGGAGCAGGACAGGCAGTCAGATGAGGGAGGCAGGGGTCGCTTGAGGCCATCACCTGGGGACGCAGGAGCAATGGAGGAGGAGAGGGAGCTATGAGGAGATAAGGAGGGGGATCCCGATGTAGTGTCAGAGAAATCAAGGAGGGCCTCCTTGAGGAGGCCACATCTAAAGCAGACAGGAAAACGGCTGCAGGTCAACAAGGGGAAGCCCAGGGAAAGGGCAGAGAAAACTACCTGAGGCACCCTGAGCTCTTCCTGAGCGCCCTGGAGAGCCACGGAGGGTTCTGGCCAGGAGGACATTGTGGAATTCGCAGCTCAGGAGGCCATGCAGGCAAGGCCTTGGGGACATGTGGCAGGACAGCACCCATGAAGGGGGCTTGGTGGGGGGCGGGCTTTTCCGTGTGGTGGGTTAAACTGCTGCCTGCAGTGCCAGCATCTCATATCATGACAGTGATTCGAGTCCCAGCTGCTCCACTTTCAGTATAGCTCCCTGCTAATGTACCTGGGAGGGAAGTGGGACATGGCTCAAGTGCTTGGGAGCTTGCACTCACATGGGAGACCCAGAGGGGGTGCCAGGCTCCTGGCTTTGGCCTGGCCCAACCCTGGCTGTTGCAGCCATTTGTGGAGTGAAGCAGTGATGGGAGAGCTCTCCAGCTCTGAAACTTTGTCTTCTAAATACAGTTTAAAATCTTTAATAATAATAATAATAGAACCAGAGTTTAGCGTATAGCCTTTGCCTCAGTCGTCTCACTTCCAGAAAGCTAGTCGGGAGCTGAGCCGGCACACCTGTAAAATGTCTTGTGCCCACGACTCGCTGCGGTACTGCAGTGACAGGAAATGGACACCTTCTGGGGGTCCATCCCCAGGGCACCTTGCCACATCCACAAAGATGCCCACCTGGCGGGTAAGAGGCCGATTCTCTGTGGAAATGCCATGGAGAACCCTCAAGGGCACAGGGACAAAGCCCAGTGGGTGTGTGCCAGGCCATGGTGCGCAGCACAGACACCAGCCCCTGGCGGGCAGCTCCTGTAAGCACACAGGGCAGGACCACAGCAGCTTAAGATGCTGTCATTCTGATGTCTGACCTTGGGGACCAGCGACTCAAACGAGGGCACTTGGCCTATAGGGCACAGGGACCAGGTCACTGGGGAGAGGGACGAGGCCACAGGGTTTGGGGAGGGGAGACCGGGGAGGCAGACACAGAAGGAGCTGGAATGAGCCCCAGCCACAGGATGGAGAGTCAGGAGATGCCTGTCAGATGGACACGTCCTCGGCTCTTCCCCCATCACCCGTGTGCCCCAGGAGGCCCTGCCTCAGACCTAGTTCAGGGCCCTGTAGGGACCGGCCAGACAGCTCCTGGTCTCACCTTAACGCCCTCGATGCGGAAGCCCAGGGTGGATGTGGAGCTGGCAGCCTCCCGCCACTGCATGTAGCGGGGCTTGGTGACGGCCCCCTGCGCATGCTCCTCGGGCGTGGGGGCCCCGGGATCCACGGCCACCATCTTCTCGTACATGTCCCTGCGGGGCCGGGGACGTTCCCGTGCCTTCACCAGCTCCTCCTCCAGGTAGGTCCTAGACACAGGGGCAGGGGATGGGAGGGTGGGGACAGCAAGTGAGCAGATCTGTGAGCAGAGTGCACGCAAGACACACACACGCACACCCTAATACACCAGGCTTAGGAGGTGGACGCCGTGCCACACTGAGGGGCACGGGAATTCTCTACAACAAACAGTGAGGGGTCCACAGGACACACACCGGGGGCAAGCTGAAGCCCACGCCCCATCTCCCACAGCACACAGGAGTGTTAGGTCTAGCCAGGTTGTGAAACAGAATGTGAGAGTTAAAGCAATGAAGCTTATAGAAAAAAAAAACCAGGAGAGCATCTTCATGTTTTTGGAGTAGACAGGCTTCTTTTGTTTTTACTTTAAGCTTATTTTATTTCACAGGCAGAGTTACAGAGGGAGGGAGAGACAGAATCCTCCGTCTGCTGGCTCACTTGCTGGAGGCTGCAACAAGGAGGGCTGGGCCAGGAAGTTCTGCCAGGTGCCCCATGCGGATGGTAGGGTCGCAAGCACTTGAGCCATCTTTCCCTGGCACGTCATCAGGATATTGGATAGCAAGTGGAGCAAGCTAGAAATCAAATCAGTGCCCACATGCACAGAGGGTGATTTAACCCACTATGCCATCTTGGCCCCACGTAGACTTTCCACTAACACTTCTTAGAGCCAACACTGGAGCACAGTGGGTAACGCTGTGGTGTACAACGCCAGCATCCCATAGGGGCGTCAGTTTGCATCCGGGCTGCTCCGCTTCTGATCCAGCTCCCTGTCAACAGCCTGAGAAAGCAGCAGAGGATGGCCCAGATACTTGGTACTCTGTTATCCACGTGGGAGACCTGGAAGAGGGTCCTGGCTCCTGGCTCCTGGCTTGGCTTAGCTCTGGCACTTGCTGCCATTTGGGGAGCGATGTTTGCCATGGTGAGCAGAGGGAGGGGAGCTGGCTTTGAGCCTGGTGCATCCCTCTAACCTCAGGCTGTGACCCAGGAGGACGCCCCATAGGCAACGGTGTCACTGCTGTACCAATGACAGACAGAAACCAAATTCCCCACGAAATAAGGGCCGAAGCAACCCCCGCTTCAGCTTCCATGTTAAAACTCGCTTGCATGTCTCTTCCTGGCTTTTTCTCTCCTCTCATGTGTCTTTCTGTTACCTGGGGAAGGAAAGCCCATGACCATGGTTCCCTGGAATAAAGGCCATCTAAATTCTTTCCTGTTTGCGGCTGATGTGTTCCTTCCCGGGTAGTCCTGGCTCTCCCTCTGTCTCGCTTTCTGTAACTCTGACTTTCAGACTGTAGTAAAATACATATTTTTTAAAAATATTTTTGTTTATGAAAAGATACCAGTAAGAGAGTGAACTGGGATAGCTGAACAGAAAGACAGTGGGGTGTGTGTGTGTATCCAACAAAATACCTCTATCCAAAATACATTAAAAAAATCACCCAGCAAAAATAGAAAGGCAGGGGCCCGATGTGGTAGCTTAGCAGCTAAAGTCCTTGCCTTGAATGTGCTGGGATCCCATATGGGCACTGTTCTAATCCCGGCGGCCCTCGCTTCCCATCCAGCTCCCTGCTTGTGGCCTGGGAAAGCAGTTGAGGATGGCCCAAAGCCTTGGGACCCTGCACCTGCAGGCCCCTGGCTCCTGGGTTCAGATTGGCTGAGCTCTGGCCGTTGAGGCCACTCAGGGAGTGATTTAGCAGACAGAAGATCTTCCTCTCTGTCTCTCTGTATATCTGACTTTGCAATAAAAATAAATAAATCTTAAAGAAAAAAAGAAAAAGAAAACCACTAGAAAGACAGGAGCAGGCGTCCAGCCCAGCAGTGAGCCGTCCACACCCACAGTGTAATCAGCGTGGTCAACGCCAGCCCTGGCCCCTGGCTCCAGCCTCCTGCAGCCCCGGGAGGACAGCGGTGACGGCTCCAGTGACAGCATTCCCACTACCCACGTGGGAGAGCTGGACTGAGTTTCTGGATCCTGGCTGCAGCTCCTGGCCTCTGGCCAGTGCAGTGAGCCAGCCCACGGGTGTTCTCTGTCTCCCTATGAGAGGCCAACCCAGTAGAAAACACCGGTAAAAGATTCAAACAGGCATTTTTCAAGGATGATTCGTCAAAAGCCAATACACGTTCTAGAAGATGCTCAATGTTGTTAGTTGGCAGGAAAAGGAGTCACCACTATCCACCCATCAGAACGGCTGGAATGAATGAGATCAACTGTGCTAAGAAGGGGTGAAGCGTGGAGCCGCGGGGCCTCCCATATACTCCTGGGGGGGCACACACAGAAACAGTCACTCCGCAAACCTGCACGAGTCTGTCCATGTCCCCATCCTCCCTCCGCCCCGACCCGAAGGCTGCCCCAGTCCCACCTACTGCCCATCTTGCAGTCCATGATGGAGGGGCCTTCGAAATCGGCTAGGAGATCTTCCATCTGGTTGAAGGCTTGGCCGTCCCGCTGCACCGTGCCATAGTAGGTTGGCACAAACGGCCGCAGCGGGTCTTCCATCAGCTGCTCCAGGCTGCGCTGCTCACACTGACAGAAGCGTTTCAGAATCCGCCCGTCCTCTCCCGCCTCGAAGTTCCCTGCATGGGTGGGTGGGTGGCCACAGGTAATGGGATCAGTGAGAGGGTCAGCGACCACATGGGGTTGTGGGGGGGAAGCACCCCAGCCCCTCCCCCGGCCTTGTGTGCCAACTTCCTGGCGCCACCATCTGGTGGGCTGACCCTCCTGTAAAGATGGACATCCCCTAGGGGCGTTGGTTCTTGCACTGGCTGCTCCACTTCCCATCCAGCTCCCTCCTTGTGGCAGTCAAGGACAGCCTAAAGTCTCGGGAGCTTTGCACCAGAGTGGAAGACCTGGAAGAGGTGTCTGACTTCAGGTTAGCTCATTTGTGGCTAACTTTGGGTGGGAGTGAACCAGCAAATGGGAAGAGTATCTTTCTGTAAATCTTTCTGGCCAATTAAGAAAAAAAAAAAAAAAAAGCCTGGCATGCAGAAATGATAGATAATCCCAAGTTTTTCTTGCAGTAGTTACTCTCTTCCAAAACTGGATGCAACAATGTCTTCCATTCCACATGCTCACCTACAATTTCCCTGCTAAGTACGGCCTTGCCCTGTGACCTGGGAGGCGTTTATGGCAGCACTGATTCTGCGAGGCTCCAGAGTCCAGGGCCGCTCAAGGCACGAAAGTCTTCACTTCCTTGTTGGCTGGGATGTGGCCCATGCCCTCCCAAGTTGCTGGGTAAGAAATCTTTTCCTCTGAGGCTGCCATGGTGTAAGGAAGCCCAAGCAGGTGTGAGGAGAAGCTGCTGGAGGCTTCAGGCCTGCTGAGACCTCGGCCCTAGGCAGCAGCAGTATACCCAACCCCCGAAGGGATGCTTCCAGCATCCTGGCTGAGTTCACAGATACCAGGAGCTGTGACAAGTCTCTCCTGCCCTCCTCCTCTGAATTCTCCACTCAAGGCTCATGAGGGTAACAGAGTGGTGCTTTTAATCCACGTTTTGTTTTGTCATTGCTTTTGTTTTTGGAAAGGCAGATGTATACAGAGAAGGGACAGAGAAAGATGTCCCAGCCATTAGTTCACAAGGGCCAGAGATGAGCCAATCCGAAGCCAAGAGCCAGGAGCTTCTCTGGGTCTCCCACACAGGTGCAGGGTCCCAAGGCTTTGGGCTGTCCTCGACTGCTTTCCCAGGCCACAGGCAGGGAGCTGGATGGGAAGCGGGGCCACCGGGATTAGAACCGGCGCCCGTATGGGATCCCGGCGCTTGCAAGGCGAGGCCTTTAGCCATGAAGGTTTTGAATTGTTACTCACTGATCCTGTTGACAGGGACAGGTGGAGAGAGCATGCCCTCCCGGATTCACTCCCCAGCTGCCCACAGTGGCTGCCACATGGAGCTGGGGACTCAGTCCTCGGGGGGCAGGAACCTAGTCATCACTTGCTCCATCAGCCAGTCTGTTGAGCAGGAAGCTGAAGCCGGGAGCCAAACCCAGGTGGTCCGGTGCAGAACATAGCACCGCAACACACTCGGCCACTTCCCGCTGCGTGCTCAGCTACTGTGAGGCTTGGGGTTCAGTTCCTACGCTCAGTAACAGAGCACACAGAGATGGCAGTCGCATGTTCACACAGCAGGCCTTGGGTGCAAGGATGAATGGGGCACACAAGGTCCTGCTGTCTCCCTTTCTTGACAGGCATGCTTTTTTAGTCTAGCCTGCTGCCTGGTGCATACGTGCGTAAGTATTTGGAAAGATACAGAGAGAAAGGGCCCAGCACGGTGGCCTAGCAGCTAAAGTCCTCCGCTTAAAAGTGCCAGGATCACATTTAGGTAGGTGCCAGTTCTAATCCAGGCAGCTCCACTTCCCATCAGGCTCCCTGCATGTGGCCTGGGAAAGACAGTCCAAAGCTTTGGGACCCTGCACCCACGTGGGAGACCCAGAAGAGCTCCTGGCTCCCGGCTTCGGATCGGCACAGCACCAGCCATTGCAGTCACTTGGGGAGTGAATCATTGGAAGGAAGATCTTCTTCTCTGTCTCTCATCCTCTCTGTGTATCTGACTTTGCAATTAAAATAAAGTAAATCTTAAAAAAAAAAAAAGTTACAGAGAGAGAGAGAATTTCATTACATCCCAGGTGCTCACAATATCCAGGGCTGGGCCGGGCCTCTGTCCTGATCTCAGGGCTCCCACACGGGAAGCAGGGGGCCCATGGCCTCGAGGCCTCCGTGTCCTGCTGCCTCCCGAGCTGCATGTTCTCAGCAGGAAGGCGGAGGCCACGCGCAGCTGAGACCGCTACGGAACGTGGGCATCTCAGGTGACATCTTACCCACTGCCCCAGATGTCCCTTTCACCATCCGCATTGCGTGGCACACAGCTGTCCGCAGGTGTCCGTGCGTTGCCCAGGGGCTGCCTCAGCAGAGAGCTGAGCGCCTGCTACAGCAACGGTAAGGCTTACAGCACCCCAGGTGCCCCTGGTCCAGCCCTGACGGGCAGCACCCCAGGCCGGCCACCGAGCTGCTATGTGCTGGGGGAACCCGCCATTCCTGCCTAGCAGGTGTTAATTCTCTACAGCCACTTAGGGCCGGGGCAGACCGGCTGCTGTTAGCTATTTTTTAATCTATTTTTTGTTTACTTTAAAGTCAGAATGACTAGAGAGAGAGAGAAAGAGAGAACCATCTGTTTGCTGGTGTGTTTTCCAACTACTCACAACAGCCCAGGCTTCTGGAGGCCAGAACTCCATCTGGGTCTCCCTCGTGGGTGGCAGGGGCCTGTGCACTTGAGCCACCATCTGCCACCTCCCAGCATGTGTCAGCAGGGAGCAGATGGCAGGCAGGGCAGCCAGGACTGGAACCAGCCTCCCCTGCCTTGAGATGTGGCATCGCAAGCAGAAGCCCGGCTTACACGGCCAGTGTACTGTCCTCTGGACCCGGGATTGTAGTGTCCATTTATGAGGGGTCTGCATCTCAACCTTGACAAACATTTTGGTGTGAACTCATCAGCTAACCCTTGCGGGGGAAGGCAGATGAGTTCCCTATCAGCAGATGGCAGAACTGAGACCCAGGGTCACCCACTCACATACAAGTCCCATCTAGGGTTGGGGCCCAGAGTCACGGCTCCCCTCCGCACCAGAGAGACACAAAATAGCCCCCAGCCCCTGATATGGCAGTGTCCAGGCCTCCCACCACAGCCCCCGGACAAAGGGGGTCACCCACTTGGCTACGGAGAGACCAGAAAGCAGCCATTTTGCTGGCCTGGGCGTCTCACTGGGCGCATCCACGCAGCGCCCCGACTCTCACCTGCGTGTCCTGAAAGCTGGACCCAGGGGTAGTGTTTCCGGAAGGAGACCACGAAAGGTGAATACTTCAGAACTGTCTTCAACTTTTTCCATGGTTTGCTCTGGGAAGTGCAAAACGGGGAGGGGTCAGGGCAGGTGCCAGAGAGGGAGGGGCTGGCATGCTGCCAGGGGGCGAAAACAACGTGGCCTGAGATCTTCCCAGGGTCAGGGGCTTCCTGGGGTCGCTGTGTTAAACCCTGGCCAAGGGGAGGGGTGGGATATGAACCCCACTAAGTTTACCCATCATGAGATTTCCCAGAGGCCAGAGCAGGGAGGGGGAATGGGAAGAGAGTCTCTGCTTGCTCCCTTTGCCACCCTTCTCTCCATTCCCATGCCACTGTGCCCAGCTTGGGGATGAACACAGTCTTGGCTTCCTTGTGGGCACAGACAACCCCCCAACCCCACGCCACACTCGCAAAAAGCTCAGAGCCCCCTAAGCCAGGTCAGACTTCCTGGAAAAAGCGACAGAGGCAGGAGCTGATGACGGAGATAGGCCAGCGCAGACACACAGAGGCCGAAGTGACGACAGAGAAGGAACACAGCCGTCCCAAGAGCCCCAGCGCTCTGTCCTTCCAGAACCTTCCCCACCCTCTGGAGCCGAGGTCACTGGCTTCCCCTGGCCTGTGGCCTGGGAAGTGGAACTCTTTGAAGCGAGTGTGGGACTCACGCTAGGTCATTCCCCTATTGAGGGGGCTGAGGGTGGCAAGAGGGCTAGGAGCCCTCTGGGCTAGGCCAGGCCAACAGAACCCCTCATGTGTCCCTCCCGCCTGCGTGGTACCCATGGAGCACAAGCAGGGCAGCAGCAAACAGAACGGCGGGATTGAGCCCCGCTACATGTGGCCACAGCCCAGAGCTTCCCGAGCCGGGCTCTGGCGACCTTCTCTGAGAGGGGCTCGTGGGGAGGCAGGGTGCTGGATGGTTCGCAGAGCATCTGACACGAGGCCAGAAAGTGACCCTCAGTGCACCTTCACCCGCCCCCAATCCTGAAAACCATCAGGCAGCAAGCGGGTGGCTCTCGAGACTCCTGAGGGCAAGCCATAGGTCTATCCCATCTCACCGGCACAGGCCTGACCCAGCACACACAGCTGCTGGACAGCAGGCTCCCGAGGGTCAGGGCTGGGGGCAGCACGTGGTCACGCCTGTGTGGCCAGCACAGGCTTTGGCTGCTCCAAAAACATGGCTTGGATTGCAGGGGGGTCAGCTGAGATCATTTTTTTTAAGATTTATTTTATTTTTATTGGAAAGTTAGATATACAGAGAGGAGAGACAGAGAGGAAGATCTTCTGTCCGATATTTCACTCCCCAAGTGAGTGCAACGGCCGATGCTATGCCGCTCCGAAGCCAGGAGCCTCTTCCGGGTCTCCCACGCGGGTGCAGGGTTCCAAAGCCTTGGGTCGTCCTCTACTGCTTTCCCAGGCCATAGGCAGGGAGCTGGACGGGAAGCAGGGCCGCCTGGATTAGAACCAGCTCCCATACAGGATCCCGGGCGTGCAAGGCGAGGACCTTAACCACTGCGCCACCACGCTGGGTCCGAGACCATTTTTAAAATCACAAACAGATTAGGGGTCAATGTGGTGACTCAATATATTAACCTTACTCTGTGTGGTGCCTACATGCCATAAAAGCATTGGTTCATGTCCTGGCAGCTCCACTTCCCATCCAGCTCCCTGCTTGTGGCCTGGGAAAACAGTCAAGGATGGTCCAAAGCCTCAGGACCCTGAACCCGCATAGGACACCTGGAAGAAGCTCCTGGCTCCTGGCTTCGGATCGGCTCAGTTCCGGCCGTTGCAATCATTTGGGGAGTGAGCCAGTAGATGGAAGATCTTTCTCTCTATCTCTCCTTCTCTCTGCAAATCTGCCCTTCAAATAAAAATAGATGTTTAAAAATAAATAAATAGCATAAACAGATGCAGTGCCTTCTCTCGTGTCTCATCCTATATCCGCTTTCTCCAAGTCAGCACATAAGCCGCCTCCTCTTCCATGAAGCCCTCTCCGACACGCATCTCCTCTGGGCTGCCAGTCGCATGCCAACTGCCCTCTCTGCCAGCCAGCCCTGAGCACTGGCTGGGGAGCCTCCTGAGGGCAGTGTTCCAGCCAGGATGTCGGTGAGAAGGAAAGCGGGAAAGGAATAAAGGAAGCTGGGCATTTTGGAGCAAATGGGATTTCAACATGAAGCGAGAGGGAAGTGACGGGATGCTGAGCAGTGGGGACAGGCTGAGCCATACAGAGAGGCAGCAGAGGGATAGAGTGTGCCTGGGCTTGGTGACAGCACGAAGAGTGGTTAGCAGGGGAGAGGCTGCCCAGGGGAGAGCCCTGAGCACCCCGGCCCCCTCCCCAGGAGCTACAAAGCTCTCCGGGAGCTACAAAGGCACCGGGCTGAGGGTGCTGATCAGAGCAGCTTCAAAGCACACCTGGCATCCTGGCTCCAACTCAACCTGGCTGCTCTGTGCCTCAGTTTCCCCATCTGTAAAATGGGGACACACACACACAGCTCCCCAAGCTGTGGCAAGGCCCCAGAGTCACACAGGGAGCACACACACCCCCACACCATGATGGGCAGGGCCTGCTGTGCCTGAGGGGCTGACTCGGCCCAGCCCCTGTCCAGGTGTGTGACCTTGGCCAAGGGACTTGACCTCTCCATGACCCACTGTCCTCATCTCCAAGGGAGAATAGCAGCAGGTGCCCATGGGGGCTGCAGTGTGGTTGGGTTAGTAATGGCTGAGGGCTTAGTGGGGCGAGGCATGTGCCCAGTTGGGCACTGCTGCTGTGGTTGGCTCCCACCCGGCAGCACACATGCCAAGGCGGTGAGAGAGCAGGTGGATGGGGAAAGCCTGGCACGGAGCCCCAGAGGGTCAGCCCCCCCTTCTTCCCCACCCCATGCATGGGTCCAGACACGCAGAGATGGGTCTGTCTCCCACAGCTAGAGCCACACGTGGGAACGGAGGCGTGTGGAGGAGGGGACCTCAGGGCAAACTCCAGCCCAGGACAATGGGAGGCCTGGGCAGGCAAGCTGGCAAGGGCTGTGGCCTCCCAGGTTCACACGGGAGTTGGCTCCTGGAACCTGCCAGGCTGGCCCTCCTGATTCACTGGGGGAGAACCGCACCCAGGCTGGGGCAGCGGGAGGAGACGTAAACAACAGTGGAGGGGTGCTCCTTGGGGGTGTGGCCGCGGGCCGCTGGGCACCACAACCCAGCCTTTCAGGCTTGGGTGGACGGTCCACACAGTCCATTGAGAATGTGATGGAAGCTGGATCTTCTCTTCCCTTTCTAGAAAAAATGTACAAGTGGGCAAAGGGATTGGGAAGGTTTGGGCCGCTCCAGGCCCCAGAAGAAGAAACTGGAGGAGCAGTGTAGAAAGTGCACTTTGAGGGCCTGGCACAATGGCTCAAATGACTAATCCTCCGTCTGTATAAGCCAGGATCCCATATGGGCGCTGGTTCTAATCCTGGCTGCTCCACTTCCCATCCAGTTCCCTGCTTGTGGCCTGGGAAAGCAGTCGAGGATGGCCCAAAGCTTTGGGACCCTACACCCGTGTGGGAGACCTGGAGGAGGCTCCTGACTCCTGGCTTTGGGTTGGCTCAGCTTTAGCCATTGAGCTATTTGAAGAGTGAACCAACAGATGAAAGATCTCTCTGTTTCTCCTTTTCTCCATATATCTGCCTTTCCAATAAAAACAAGCACATCTTTAAAAAGTACACTCTATCGGCTTCTCAGCCTTTCGGCTAAGATCAGCTGTAAAAGACACTCTGTCAGCTGTAAGAGACACTCTGTCTCTCTACCCTGGTATTCTTCAGATTTGAGGGACACAGACTCACAGATGTCAGGGACAGACCAGTGTGAACCCCAGGATGGGAGGATGGGAAAGGAGAAGGCAGGCAGCTAGGAGCCCGTGTGAAGAAATCCTCCTCAGAGAAGGGTGCTCAGCGGATGGGAGAGGCGCAAGGGAGCCCTGCTCGAGCCAGGCGGCCACAGGAGACTGCTGGGCACCAACTCACCCCGGCCCTGTCCTCGGGATCGCTGGCACCTCCATCCCCAGCCACCACGTCCACCACATCGTCCTCCGACTCGTCGAAAGAGGAGGCAGAGGAGAAGCCGCCGCTGCCCACCTCAGCCCGGGACAGGGCTCCCACGGGCTGGGCGTCCGGCTCTGGGGTCTCAGGGGTGATGATGAGGCGGGGTACAGGGCACAGGGGGTTACCCTCCAGGTGCGAGTACAGGTCAGTCACCAACTGCCCAGGTCCTGTGTCTTCCCCTGGCCCAGTGTCGCTGCCAGGATGCTCTCCTACAAGGCAGTCTGTCCCAGGTGCTGTTTGGGGATCCTCAGCAATGCCCCGCTGTGTCCAGGCAGTAGCAGTATCCGGCTGTAGCAGGGGGCCATCGGCGCCAGGTGGCTCCTGGACAGAGGCAGTAGCAGCGCCCACATCTTTGCAAGAGTCATTAGCCCCAAGCTCCGGAGAGACGCAGGTGCTCTCTGAGTTGGACCTGCTGTGCTGAGTCCGCAGGTTCTCGGCCCCGGGCCTGTCCCTGTCCCGCTGAGACTGCAGGTCGGATCTGTGTGGCTCAGGCCAGAGAGTGCCGGCCTCCGTCCAGGGCTCTGCCCCGTGGCTGCTCCCTTCTGACCTGTCGGCCGGCGGCGTCTCGCTGCTGCTGCTGCTGCTGCTGCTGTCCGCTCCCAGGCCGGCGGTCCCCGCTTCGGGCTCCGTGGGGACCAGCCTGGAGCTCTCGGCCCCGGCCTGGGGCCCGCCCCCCTCGGGCCGTCCCGTCGGGCCTCCGGCACCCGGCCCGGCTCGCTGCTGTCCGGGCTGCCTCCGCCGGCCCCCTCGCGGCGCCTCCAGCCCCATGCGGGCCGCCGCCGGCAGCGCCCCAGCTTCGGCCTCGCTCAAGCTCCCTCGGCATGGGCAGCGCCTCATGCCTGCCTGCCTGCCTGCCTGCCTGCCTGCCTGCCTGCCTGCCTGCCTGCCTGCCTGCCTGCCGCCTGGGTCCAGGCTCCGGCCCGACGCGGCCCCTCCCTCCTTCCCCTTTAAATCCAGCGAGGGGTGTGGCCGGGGAGCCCCGACTCACGGGTTCCGGCCGCGGCGTTGCAGCTCGAGCGGCCACGCAGGGGTTAACCGATACTCCTCCTCCTGCTCCTTCAGGGGGAGCCCCGAAGTCCCGCCCCACAGGACGTGACGCACCAAGCGCCGCGGAGGGGGCGGAGCTCCACCTGAGCTCCCGGGGCGGGACACCGATGGCCTCCCGGGGCGTGGCTCACGCGGACTCCGCCCCCTCCGCCCTGGCTCCGCCCTCACCTAGCGGCGTGCTCGCCGCCCGCCAGCGCCCCCTGTAGGTGTGGGGCGCCCCGCTGGCCTTGTAGGGGGATCTCTTCTGCTCCCCTATGACTTGATCCCACGTCCCTACACACTCACGTGACCCGTGACGCGTCAGCCGCGCTTCTGGGTTCTTTTTTATTGCACGCAGGGGGCTCCCTGAGACCTGAGTTCCAGGTTGCCACGAGTGACTTCCTCGCCTTCCTTGAGTCAGCTGAGAGAAATCTGGCTCATCAGTGGGCACGTGCTGCTCTGCACCAGGCCCTCTTCTCTCACGGGGACCCTGAGCCTCACCCTCGTGCCTTCGGAGCCGCAGCGTTGTGGGGTCAGTTGTCCAGGATGTTCTCCCCAGCGCCTACGTCAGACCCTCGCCTTTGGAGGCAGACAGCAGGTGGTTTCTGTCTTAGCTGAGTCACCTGGAGGACGGACACTGGACACAGGCCCAAGGTTCTAGAATGAGTCATGTTTTCCCCCAGTCCCCCTGCTACGTCACACAGTCTTCTCCAGGGGCCAGAGCCCACCGGGTACATCAGGTTGGGAAGCCGGGGTCCCCAGGAAGGGCTGAGCTTTGCTGAGGCCACGCAGCCCTGGGACTGGGGTGGGTGGGTGAGTGGGTGGCTTGGGCAGAGGCGGCAGGGCGCTGTGGGAGAAGCACCTGCTCCCACGGTGGGAGAAGAGGCACAGCCAGCCTGGCTGCTGCTGTCCCAGACGGTGAACCTGAAGCAGAGGAGGGGGTGGTGACTCAGCCTGCCGTGCCCTCACTCCCACAGGGGCTGGAGCAGGGATTTGTGGGATGCCAAGGTTCCTGACGATCGCTGACTCAGCTCCGGGAATCTTGGCTGAGTGTGTTCCGGGAAATGTCAGGCCTGCCGTTTGCAGAGGACTCCCACTCGCGGGTGGGCGGGGAGCCGAGAGGGAGAACAGGGTGTGTGAGGGAACGGCTGCTACGCCTGCTTAGGGAAGGGGTCGATGGATTGCAGAGGTGAGGGTGTGAGCAGGAGAGAGCAGGCCAACGAGCAGGAGTGGGGGGCGAGCTGGGGCATGGGGAGGGCGGAGTGGGCAGGTGCATACAATAGGGTGCTTGGTTGTGTGTGTAAGGGGGTGAGTAAAAGGTGTGTTTCAGAGAGGTGAGCCTGCCAGCGCTGCATGCAACAGGAGACACTGGCAGGAGGCCAGAGCGCAGGAGAGAAGTGGAGTTTGTAAACCAGAGTGAGGTTTGACTGACAGGACGGGAAGAGAAACGCCCCGCCTCCAGCGCCGGCCACGCCCCGCAAGGCCACGCCCCCACCATACTGCCGGCTGTGCTTCACGCAGGCTTAGTGCCCGTCAAGCGAGCCGCTGCTCCCCTATTGGGTGGCCGGCCGGAGGGGGCGGGCGTACGCAGGCTCCCGGAAGTCCAGGAGGGCCCGGCGCGCTTTGCGGACCGGCGGCCAGCAGGCTGTGGGTGCTTAGCAACGTGGAGGTGGTGGGGAAGGTGCCCATAAACCGAGTGACGGGACTGGGGAGGAATTGTGGATACCTAGCAACAGGGAGTCAGGAAGGCAGTGCCTAGCAACGGGCGAGGGGGAGTGGGGCCGGCTCCGAGCGCAGCGGTAACCCTGGAGCATCTGGAGGTGTCTAGCAACGAGCAGTGGCAGGGGCCAGAAGGCTAGATGGAATTTGGGAGGCCCGCGGGGAGAGGCAGCGAACAGTTTCCTAGCAACGAGAAAGGGGAGCCGGGAGAAGCAGGGGAAGTCTGTGAGCAGGGCAGGGAGTTTGAGAGATGGAAGTTAGAGGTGGGAAGGGAGGCAAAATGGGGGGGGGGGGGGCGGACCAGTGCACCCCGCCCTACCCACTAACCCCTCCTCTGCTCCCCCAGGCAATGTGGCTGGAGCTGGGGGGCCTCCTGCGGGGGACTTTTGCTGTGCCTCGAGGGGCGCGAGGCCCTGGGCTGCGCTGGTGGGTAAGAATCTGGGAGAGGGTCACCCAGGGGGAGAGGCCAAGGGCGGGTTGCAGGAGTGGACAGGGAGGGATCCCAAAGTGTCTTCCACTCCCACCCAAGCCCGCATCTCTTCCAGGGGCCGCATTGGGGTTCCTGGACCCCAAAGTCACTGCATGATGAGCCTGGAAGGGGCTTGGGGGAGGAGGACATTCGCAGGGCACGGGAAGCCCGGCCCCGGAAGACAGCGCGACCCCAGGTATCATCATTACTGCCCCTCTGTCCCCGCCTCCCACACACACACACTTGTACCCTGGTACCCTGCAGACCCTTGTGCAGGCCACTGGCCCCACTGAATTTGGGGGAAGGGTGCAGCCATAGCCTGGGTGCCTCCCATCCCAGGCACTATGCCTGCCTTCCTGACCTCACACCTCCTCTCTTTCCCAGCTGAGCGAGCGCTCTCGAGAACGCAAGGTGCCTTCTTCACGCATCAGTCGCTTGGCCAGCTTTGGGGGTAGGTGTGACTTGTAGAGTGGAGGAGATGGCATTTAGAGATTGTGACAAGGAGGGGGTGAGTCTGAGAGAGAGAACGGCAGGGGGGAAGGAGGAGAGACAGGGAGACAGCCAGTCACCACATGGCCCTGCATCCATCGACGTTTGTGCCCATTCTGTAGATGAGCAAGTGGAGGCTAAGGGGGTTGTCAATGCTGAGGGATTGCAGGTGGCAGCCTGGCTTGACGTGGTTTGCTGGGTTGCAGCCAGCGTTTGCAAAGAACAGAACGTAAGACACAGCGGCCCCCACAGAGCACGTCAAGTCTTGTTTCACCAAACCCCCAGGCGTGGGTCTGTCCTGCCTGGCTGTCAGTGTGACGAGCATGGCTCCAGTGTGGGGGGTGCTGGCGCCCAGCTGGTAGAAGCACACTGGTTGGAGCTTTGCCCCTCATCACTCCCCAGGTCATCCAGTCCTGGGGTGAGATTCTAAGCCGGGTACTGCTCGCTGAGCCTCTGTCTCCTTTTTCATAAAGATGGAGGTGTGTTGGTGGAGGTGTGGTTTTTTTATTTTTTCCTGTCCAATGCACTTCACCCACAGTGTGAGCACAAAGTGAGCTGCAGCCTGGAAGACGGTGGGCACTGCACCTGGCAGCCAGAGAAAGGGCCAGCTCCAGTCAACATCAGAGAGGGAAGGAAAGTGGCAGACACCCAAGGGGCCTGTGTGGATGGGAAGACACAGGAAGCAGAGGAAATCTGAGCCAAAGAGATCACACCAGCTGGAGGGACAGGGAAAAGGAGGCCCGGCAGGTGTTCTGGAGAAGGGATGGGAGAGGTGAGCACAGAGAAGGAGGTGGGTCAGAGGAGGCTTTAGAGTGGAGGGAGGAGGGCTGGGTGACAGAGGAAGGCTGGGACAGGGGAGGAGCGTTGGGGCAAGGGAGGAGGGCTAGGTGGGGTAGGGAGGAAGATTGGGGGTCCCAGAGGACAGTCAGGCTAGGACAGTCATCCCAGGACCTTCCCAACCTTGGCTCTACACAAGAATCGTCCGAGATGTTGAGACACATGTGAGGGGCAGGCCCCTGGGTTAGCGGTTGAACCACCACCTGCAACCCCCAGTGGCGTGCCTGGCTTGGAGTTCCAGTCCTGGCTTCCTGCTGCTGACATGCATGTTGGGAAACAACAGGTGGTGGCTTCAGAGCTTGGGTCCCTGCCACCTGTGTGGGAGACCCAGAGGGCCCCTGGCTTTGGACTAACGAAGCCTTGGCTGCGCATGCATTTGGGGAGGGGATGGAGAAAGGGCGACAAACCAGCACATGGGGAGATTTCTCTTTCCTTCTCTGTCTCTCAAATAAATAAAAGAAGAATTTTTTTTTTTTAATTTCAAAGGCAGATTTACAGAGAGACAGAGATCTTTCATCTGCTGCTTCGCTCCGAAATGGCCACAGTGGCTAGAACTGAACTGATCCAAAGCCATGAGCTTCTTCCGGGTCTCCCACACGGCTAGAGACCCAAGGACTTGGGCTTATCCTTCACTGCTTTCCCAGGCCAAGGCAGGGAGCTGGATGGGAAGTGGAGCGATCAGAGCATGAACCAGTACCCATAGGGGATGCTGGCGCTTGCTGGTGGAGGGTTAACCAGCTAAACCATTGTACCAACCCCCTCCCCCCAAAGAAGTATTTTTTAAAAGATATATTTATTTAGGGCCAAATGAGATAGCCTAACGGCTAAACTCCTCGCAGTGCATGCACCAAAATCCCTTATGGGCACCGGTTTGTGTCCTGGCCACTGCACTCCCCATTCAGCTCGCTGCTTGTGGCCTGAGAAAGGAGTGGAGGATGACCCAAAGCCTTAGGACCTTGCATCCACATGGGAGACGCGGAGGAAGCTCCTGGCTCTTGGCTTTGGATCAGCTCAGCTCTAGCTGTTGTGGCCGTTTCAAAGAGTGAATCAGCAGACAGAAGATCTTTCTGTCTCTCCTTCTTCCTATATATCTGACTTTCCAATAAAAATAAATTAAAAAAAAAAAAAGACTCATTTAAGCAGCAGAGCTACAAAGAGAGAGAAAAAGGGATCTTGCATCTTCTCCTTCACTCCCCAGTTGGCCGCATCAGGGCAGGCTGAAGCCTGGCACCCACAACTTCATCCAGGTCTCCCCCGTTGGTGCTGGGGCTGAAGCACGAGGGCCCATCTTGTGCTGCTTTCCTAAGCCGATAGCAGGGACTCGTGTCAGAAGAGAAGCCCCCATGTGGGATGCCGGCACTGTAGACAATGGGTTAACTCCCTGTACCACAGCACTGGCTCTGAAATAATACTTTTTTAAAAAAAAGATTTAGTTTCATTGCAAAGTCAGATAAAGAGAAAGTCAGAGAAAGATCTTCTGTCCGATGGTTCACTCCCCAAGTGGCTGCAATGGCTGGAACTGAGCCAATCCAAGCCAGCAGCTAAGAGCTTCTTCCAGGTCTTCCATGCAGGTGCAGGATCCCAAGGTTTTGGGTCATCCTCAACTGCTTTCCCAAGCCACAAGTAGGGAGCTGGACGGGAAGCAGAGCTGCCGGGATTAGAACCGGCGCCCATACAGAATCCCATCATGTTCTAGGAGAGAACTTTGTCCACTAGGCCACTGCACTGGGCCCTGAAATAAATTTTTTTTAAAGATTTATTTTTTTTTGTTACAAAGTCAGATATACAGAGAGGAGGAGAGACAGGGAGGAAGATTTTCCAACCGATGATTCACTCCCCAAGTGAGTGCAACGGCCGGTGCTGTGCTGGGATCCGAAGCTGGGAACCAGGAACCTCTTCCAGGTCTCCCGCACAGGCGCAGGGTCCCAAAGCTCTGGGCCATCCTCGACTGCTTTCCCAGGCCACAAGCAGGGAGCTGGATGGGAAGAGGGACTGCCGGGATTAGAACCGGCGCCCATATGGGATCCTGGCGCATTCTAGGAGAAGACTTTAGCTGCTAGGCCATGCCTCCAGGCCCAACCTAAAATAAATGTTTTAAAGTACAAATTCCAAGGTTTCTGAGAAGCCTGGGGGGTGGGGCCCAAATCCCTAATTCCCCAAAGCGCCTCAGTTGTCCCTGCTGTGCACCCAGGGCTGAGAACTGCTGGGAAGGAGACACTTACACCAAGGAGATGAGAAAGGGCAGGAAGAGAATGACAGAGCTGCAGCCAGGAGCAAGCGGATGAGCCTGCCCACAGAGACACTGGAGGAGGGAGGCTGGGAAGGGCTCAGGGGCAGGAACCCAGCCCACACCTCCTCTGCTCTCCAGGGCTGGCTGTGAGCCTGGGGCTGGGAGCGCTGGCCGAGGTGGCCAAGAAGTCCTTCCCGGGAGGACCCCTGCAGACAGGTGAGTACCAACCCCCCCCCCACACACACACCAGGGTTCAGACCAGCGCTTGCTGAGTGAACTCTGGAGCCCAGGGTCTCTCCTCGCCTGGAGGATGCTGGTGAAGATGATGGGAGAATCCTCAAGAAAGTTCACGGAAAATGCATGTGAGCCAAAAGCAGCATGGATTGCAAAGTTCTTGTATCCCCAAATCAACTTTTATTGTATTTTGTTTCTTTGAAACGTAGAGGTAAGGAGAGAGACGTTGATCTTCCATCTGCTGGTTCATTCCCCAAATGACTGCATCAGCCAAGCCAAAGCCAAGAGCCTGGAGCTGCATCCGGGCCTTGTGTGGAGGTGCTAGGGGCCCAAGTTCTTGGGTCATCCAAGAACTGCTACTGCTTTCTCAGCTGCATAGTAGGAAGCTGGATTAGAAGTAGAGCAACTAGATCTGGCCCTGTAGCCTAGTGGCTAAAGTCCTTGCCTTACACTCACTGGGATCCCATATATGTGCTAGTTCTAATCCCAGCTCCTCACTTCCCATCCAGCTCCCTGCTTGTGGCCTGGGAAAGCAGTCAAGGACGGCCCAAAGCCTTGGGACCCTGCGCCTGCGTGGGAGACCTGAAAGAAACTCCTGGCTGTTAATTGGCACAGCCCTGGCCATTGTGGCCACCTGGTGGGGGGAGTGAATCAGCGGAAAGAAGATCTTTCTCTCTTCCTTTCTGTACATTTGACTTTCCAATAAAATAAATCTTAAAAAAAAAAAAAGAGCAAAGCAACCAGGACCTGAACCAGAACTTATGGGATGTAGGCACCCCATGCAGGAGCTGAACCCACATTGTGTGCCACAAAGCCTGCCTATAGAGAGATCTTCCAACTGCTCATTCACTCCCAAAGTGGCCACACTGACTGGGATTGAGCTACTCCGCAGCCTGGAGCCAAGAGCGTCTTCCTTTTTTCCCCACGTGATTGGTCGGGCCTATCGTTTGCTGCTTTTCCAGGCTGCTTAGCAGGGAGCTGTATTGGGAGTGGAGCAGGTGGAGCACCCGGGACTTGAACCAGTCAAGTGTACAGCCAGGAGTGTTTTACCAAAGTGGACACATCTGTGTGCAGGGGCAAGGTGCTGCACCATTGCAGTTCCTGGAGCCTGTGGCCCCAGCACCCCTGCTGGCCCTTCAAGCTGACCAGCCGGTAAACATGAGGCACTCTGTGCAGGCCACAAAGACAGGTCCTGCCACCACGTGGGCCGCAGGAATGCATCCTGACAGTGTGTCACTACGTGAAAGCAGTCACGGCCGCATGGCCTCGTCACGGCAAAGGGGCCTGAGCAGGTAGCCCATAGAGCAGGCAGTACGTGAGTGATTGGGGGGGCGCTGTGGGGTGCGGAGGGCTGCAGGGTGTCAGGGGCTTGAGGCTGTGGTGTGTGGAGAGTGACTAGGGGGCTGTGGGGTTTTGTTTATAGGTGAGGAAATGTTCTGATTGTTGTAGTGTTCTTGCGACTCGAATGTGCCAGAAAGCACGGTATCAGCCTGTACCTGGCTGAGTGATGTGGTGGAGCAAGGATCTTTCTTTTTTTTTTAAAGATTTATTTTTATTATTTTTTCATTGGAAAGGCCGATATACAGAGAGGAGAGACAGAGAGGAAGATCTTCCATCCGATGATTCACTCCCCAAGTGAGCACAACGGCCGATACTATGCCGATCCGAAGCCAGGAGCCTCTTCCAGGTCTCCCACGCGGGTGCAGGGTCCCAAAGCTTTGGGCCGTCCTCGACTGCTTTCCCAGGCCACAGGCAGGGAGCTGGAAGGGAAGCGGGGCTGCTGGGATTAGAACCGGCGCCCATATGGGATCCCGGGCGTGCAAGGCGAGGACCTTTAACCACTTGCGCCACCGCGCCGGGCCCTCAAGGATCTTTCAAAACAGCTGTTAAAGAAAGAAATGAGGCCTTCACTAGCAGGTTTCAAGTGATGACTTTTACCCGTTTTCATTGAAATTTAATTTAGTTATACAGATTCATGGGGTGCAGTGGGGTCATTTGATACACATACGTACTGCACAATGATCAGATCAAGAAGATTATTTGAAAGGCAGAGTGTTAGGAAGACAGAGAGCAAGTTCTTCCATCTGCCGGCTCTTTGCGCTCAGTGGCTGCAGTGGCTGAGGCTGGACCAGGACTAAGACAGGAGCCTGGGGCTCCCTCGGGGTCTCCCGCATGGGTGGGTGATGGGGTCCAGGTACTGGGGCCGTTGTCCTTCACTTTGCTCTGGTGTGTCAGCAGGGAACTGGGTGAGAAGCAGTCGGGACGCAGGCCGGCGTTCCTGAGGGATGCCGATGTCACAGGTGGCGACTGAACCTGCTGGGCCATAGCACACGGCCCCTGGGGCTCAGCACCTCTGTCTCAATTTGTTTTTTTAATTTTTGATTAACACAATAATTGTTCCCTGGTGTCCTCTGCTCACCCTCACACCGGGAGACTTGTCCCAGTGGTGTGCGCCAGCCTACACTGTTGACGTGGTGACGTGGCAGTCACTGTGAGTCTGCCACCACGTGCGGATTCGTACTGTTGGTGTGTGTGTGTGTGTGTCACTAGAGATGTCCCATCCGTTTGCAGGGGCCTGTGCCAGCCAGAGCCCTGCCCTCAGCGGTGACTGAGCTCAAGGTCTGCCCCTTTGCCAACACCTGCCACTGTATTGCACACTTCACCATTCTGAACTGTGTGTTATAATGATTAAAACAAAAAATTAGTGGGCCCAGCACAGTAGCCTAGGAGGCTAAAATCCTTGCCTTGCAGACACTAGGAGCCCATGTGGGTGCCAGTTCATGTCCCAGCTGCTCCATTTCCCATCCAGCTCCCTGCTTGTGGCCTGGGAAAACCCTAGAGGATGGTCGTTGGGACCCTGCACCTGCATGGTAGACCCGGAAAAAGCTCCTGGCTTTGGATCGGCTCAGCTCCAGTCATTGTGGCTGCTTGGGGAGTGAATCAGCAGATGGAAGATCTTCTCTGTCTCTCCTTCCCTCTGTAAATCTGACTTTCCAGTAAAAATAAATCGTTAAAAAGATTATTTTTTTACTTTATTTGAAAGGCAAAGAGACTGAGAAAAAGAGATCTCCATTGACTGGTTCACTCCTTAAATAACCAGCAGCAGCTAGGGCCAAGGCCGGCGGCCCAGAGTTCCCTGCGCGTCTTCCACCTGATGGCCGGGGTGCAAGCTGTCACCGGGGTGCAGGCTGCCTGGCAGAGGACATCAGTAGGAAACTGCATTGGAAGGACTCTGGCCAGGCACCGATTCAGGGCACAGACAACCCCAGCAGGGGCGATGCGCGCCCCCACAGCAGCCATCTTTGGCCGTGACATTGCTGCTTGTCCTTTCCTCCCCAGAGGGCGGCTCCCAACTGGGCTCCAGCCCCTTCCTGTCCGAGGCCAACGCCGAGCGAATCGTGCAGACCCTGTGCACCGTGCGGGGCGCCGCCCTCAAGGTTGGCCAGATGCTCAGTATCCAGGGTACGGTGGGGGGACCCTCACTAACCTCCTGTCCTCCACCCACACTCCTGCCCCACCCTCATCCTCCTCTCCCCTCCCCGCTGTCTCCCAAGACAACAGCCTCATCAGCCCCCAGCTGCAGCGCATCTTCGAGCGGGTCCGCCAGAGCGCCGACTTCATGCCTCGCTGGCAAATGCTGGTGAGTGTCCGGGATGGGGTCTGGCCATTCCCCCTCCCCGTGCCACCTGCCTGGGTCCTTCTGCCTGCCTGTGCCTCAGAACAGCTTCCCTGTGGTGGCCGCTGCATTTCTCTTAAGGGAGAGTGTGTCTGTGTAGGTTGGCACAGTGCTTGGCACTGGGTAAGTGTCTGAGATGTGAGTTGCTCCTGGGGGCTAGACCCGGACTCCAGGGGCGCCTTCACTTGCCCTGTGACCCTTGGCTCTCGGTTTGGTGCCCTGGAAGCCACTGCCCCCACCCCCGTAAACCTCAGCTCTGCCTTCACCCTCATGCTCAGTTGTCGATGCAGCTAAGGGGTGTAGTGAGGGACTGTTACCAGGTTCGGCTAGAAGCAGCAGCTCCCCATGGCAGCCCGCACAGCCCAGGGAGTGGCAGCTTAGGCAAGCGGAGGCCTCCCGGTCATTCGGTCAGGGCCTGGCCGGTCACTTGTGGACAGGGGAGTTCCGTCTCAGCCTCTGTTCCCCATCCGAGAAGAGGGCAGCAGCCACGAGCCCAGGGCCCCAGAGCATTGGGGGTTACTCGCAGCTCAAGGACACAGCACCAGGAGTGAACTTGGCTTTGCCCTGTGCGAGGCCAGTGATTGCTATGACCATTCCCTTCCCCACCCTGTACCCCACAGAGGGTTCTAGAAGAGGAACTCGGCAAGGACTGGCAGGCTAAGATGGCCTCCCTGGAGGAGGTGCCCTTTGCCGCTGCCTCCATTGGACAGGTGCACCAGGGCGTACTGAGGGACGGCACAGAGGTGGCTGTGAAGATCCAGGTGAGAGGGGCGGCCTGGCGCACGGTGGGGGGGCCTCACTGGGCACAGGGATGAGCCCCTCCCTTTTATGTTGTCCCCTTTACTCACAGTACCCAGGCGTTGCCCAGAGCATCCAGAGTGATGTCCAGAACCTTCTGGCAGTGCTGAAGATGAGCGTGGCCTTGCCGGAGGGTGAGCAGCCGGCCAGCGCCTGCATGGGAGGGGCGCCCCCAGAGAGCAGAGGCAGAGCGTGGGCAAGGCGTGTGTGTGTGTGTCTGTGTGTGTCTGTGTGTGTCTGTGTGTGTCTGTGTGTGTCTGTGTGTGTCTGTGTGTCTGTGTGTGTGTGTCTGTGTGTGTGTGTGTGTCTGTGTGTGTGTGTGTCTGTGTACACAGGTGGCCAGAAAGCAGGGTGCTGAGGTATGGAGAACCCTTGTGTGACCACAGCCCCAGGTCACTGTGCACAGGCGGGCCACACATGGAGGGGTACGCAAAGCAGATGGGGTGGGGAGGTGGACCACGCGCCGCTGAGTCAGAGCGTGTGGGAAAGTGGGAACGCAGCTGCCTGCCGACTCAGTGCCGCAGGTGGCACAGCTGTGTGTGTTGTGAGAGAGGAGCAGGAAGCAGAGCCAAAGAAGCAAGACAGAGGCAAGAGGGGTGTGTAGTCTAATGGTTAGAATACCTACGTCCCACATCCCGGTCCCTGACTCTGCCGCCTGGCTCCAGCTTCCTGCCGATGCAGACACCACAAGGCAGCAGCGAAGCACAAGTCATTAGGCTTTCCGGCCCGGCCATTGTAAGCACCTGGGTAGGGGAAAGGAGCGCTCTCTGGCTCTGTTTCTTTGCCTCTCAGATATAAAAAACAAACCAGAATGAAATGTTAGAAAAAGACAGAGGAGACCAGGAAAGCAGGTGGGCTGCTGATTGTGGAAGAGCTGCCTGTGCCAAGGGTACCCTTGGGAGAAACCTCAGGAGTGGAGGGACAGCAACGGCGGCGGGGGCAGCCTGGGTGACTGGCTGACTCGGCTGTCCCCTCAGGCCTATTTGCCGAGCAGAGCTTGCAGGCCTTGCAGCAGGAGCTGGCTTGGGAGTGTGACTACCGCCGCGAGGCAGCCTGTGCCCAGAACTTCAGGTGAGGCGAGCTGGAAGTGGGTGTCTGCCTTCCCCCCTCCTCTGGTGGCTGCAGCCCCAGGGCACATGCCTGCTGTGCCGAGACGCTCTTGCAGCCTACTCCCATTGAGGAAGATAAAGCAGCCTGACAGCATCCCAAACTGGAGAGAACTGGGTTCTAGAACATTTCTTTAACCCTGGAGAGACAGACCTAAGCATGGGGGAATAGGCCTTTTCTCTAGAATGCTCAGAGCAGCGTTGTAGTAGCCCTGGACTGGCAACAACTCAAATCTCGCACCTCTGTCCACCAGGGTGGATATGTAAATCACAGGCTAATCATTTCCCTGCCGTGTCGGGCAGCACTGAGAAGGGATGAACCATGCCTGGCTGGAATGATGAGACTGAATCCTGGAAGCAGCGCATTGTGCCACAGCTAACAGCCCCAGTGTGGGATTGCCACATGGCTCACATGGTCACTGAGGCGTGGTGGTGTGCCCAGCGCTGTAGACGGGCAGCAGAAGGCATCGGTTCAGGGTAGTACCCTGGAGGCAAGCCGAGGTGGGACCAAACCTCAGGTCCCAGGTTCCCCTTTCCCGGGCTGTGTGGCCTGAGCAGCCTCCTGCCGTGGAGAGCAGGGAATCGTGCTAACTGAACGCCTAGCCCAGGGCCTGGCCCAGCAGGAACGGTGGTACATGTTGGGGACAAGGACAATACAGTCAGCTGTAGACCTCTGCGGAGGCGGCTGGCAAGCAGGGTGAAAGGCCAGAGCATTTTCCATGCAGGCTCAGGGGCACCCCCTTCTCTACCTCTGGTCCCTACCTGCTACTGCTGCCCTGTCCTTCTCCGATCGTGTGGGGAGGCTCTGCTCATTTTTCATTTTTTTCCCTCAGATTTATTTCCTTGAAGGGCACAGAGATAGAAAAATTCCATCTACTGCGTCCCTCCTAGATGCCTGTGATGGCTGGGTCAGGACAAAGCCAGGAACCTGGCATTCCATCCAGGTCTCCCACATGGGTGGCAGGGGGCCCAAGTCCCTGGGGCCCTCATCAGCTGCCTTTCCAGGCGCAGGCAGCTGGATTGGAAGTGGAACAGCTGGGACTCAAACCCACATTCTGTAATGGGATGCTACAGTTGCTGGCAGTGGCTTAGTTCATTGTGCCACTGTGCTGCCCCTCGCCCACATTCCCTGCCTCCCAGAGCTCCCCGTGGCGTGTTTCTCTCAGTCTATCTGAATGGACCTTCAGCAGGGGACAGACTGGTGACTGCTCCGTCCACCAGCATGGCCCAAGCACAGGGATGGGCAGGCATGGAGGGGGTTTCTTCCCTTGATCCGCCAGCATCGAGAATCCAGTAGTCTCCCTTGGGACTCGGAGAACCCATTGCACCAGCCTGAGCCCTCTGCCCTGTTCTCCCCGTGTCTGATGACAAGGGCTCGTTTTCCAGATAAGGCTCGGCCAGTTGCGGTGCAGCACATTGCTGCCAGCTGGAACGTGGCAGCACATTGGCCGTGTCGTCCGCTCACACACCTGACACCTTTTCCATCTGGGCTGAGCGCGTTCTCCCTCGCTGTGGCTGTCCCCTTGGCAGCTGGCGTGACAGCAAAAGCAGCAGCGATTTCTCGTTCCTTCACCGCAGTTGTCGTGCCCAGAGTGGTCATTCTCACTGTAGCTCTTTGCAGTCACAGCCCAGGATTTGTTTGCTTTCTGTGCTGAGAAAGAAAGCACCTTTGCCCTCGAAGGAAGCCCTTTATAGCTTTGCTTGAGTCACTTAAGTCTTTGAAAAGTAGGCCAGAGCTGGGCCCGGCCTAAGCCAGCAGCCTAGGACAGAAGCCCAAGGACATGGGCCATCTCCCGCTGCTTTCCTGGGCGTATTAGCAGGGAGCTGAATTGGAAACAGAGCAGTTGGGACTCAAACTGGTACTGCTAGGGAATCACGGTGTTGCTGGCAGCAGCATAGCACACTACCCCACCACAGCGCGTCTGAGTGGCCAGCGTCACTGCTCTCCGGCTCCCGGGGTCCCTAGCCGAAGAGACCTGGGCGGAGTAAGAGGCCATCCACTACTCAGAATGGCGTCAATTATTTATTTCTGGAATTGTCTATTAAATTTTTGTTTTTGTGGGTTTTTTATTTTTTTCCTTAACCCTGACTGACTACAGGTACCTGAACCTAAGGCAAATGAAACTGCAGATGAAGAGGGTCTAGTGCAGTGGCCAATAGATATGATAGCATTGTATGCGAGATTAACTCATTAGCTTTTTTTTTTTTTTTAAGTAATGAAAGAAGACTGGAGTTGTGGTATATTAGGCTAAGCTGCTGCCTGCAATGCTGGCATCACTTAAGGGCACTGGTTTGAGCCCCGGTCGCTCCACTTGCAGTCCAGCTCTCTGCTTAACAGACGTGGGAAAGCAGCAGAAAATGGCTCCTGCTCGTGGGCGAGGGGGGAAGCTCCTCACCTCAGCCTGGCCCAGCTCTGTTAGAGGCGCACGGATGAACCAGCAGGCGAGAATCTCCCTTTCTTTCAAATAAGGGGAAATGGTTGTGTATTATTTATCTAAAAGGCGAAGTCACAGAAAAAGAGGGGGGAGGAGATCTTTCATCCAGGTCTCCTACGTGGGTACAGGAGCTCAAGCACGTGGGCCGTGTGCTGCCTTCCCAGGTGTGTCAGCAGGGAACTGGATTGAAGTGGAGCAGCCAGGACTGAAACCATTGCCTATTAGGGATGCCAGCACTGCGAGTGGCAGCTTTACCCACTGTGCCACAGTATTGCCCTCTCCCTGCCCACCCCCTATTTTTTTTTAAGTTACCACAAACTAAGACACACTGAGCTCATCCAAGGACAATCAGAGTCACAGAACAGTGTCAGAGAGGAAGTCACTGAGCTTCCAGCAGCTCCCAGCTTAGGAGTGCACAGAGTGGGTGTCACTGGGGTACTTGTAAACTCATCAGTTCAGCCACCCAGACCACTCAGAGACAGAGAGGGCAGGAGAGCCAGAAGAAGGACTTCCTGGAGGACTTCTCGTCCGGCCTAGGGGCCTCCAGCATGCAAGCACGCCAACCGTCCCCCTTGATCCCCCAGGCAACTGTTGGCAGGCGACCCCTTCTTCCGCGTGCCAGCTGTGGTTGAAGAGCTGTGCACGACACGGGTGCTGGGCATGGAGCTGGCTGGTGGGGTGCCGCTGGACCAGTGCCGAGACCTGAGCCAGGACTCACGGAACCAGGTACCGGGTGGGAATACAGGTATGGGCAGGGCCAGCAGGAAGGGTGACTGCCCAGGGGCCCAGCGGGCTGCCCCATGCCTCACTGCGCCATCACTGCCATCTCCCCATCCAGCTTTGCTTCCAGCTCCTGAGGCTGTGTCTGCGCGAGCTGTTCGAGTTTCGATTCATGCAGACCGACCCCAACTGGGCCAACTTCCTGTATGATGCCTCCAGCCACCAGGTTGGTCCTGGGAATGTGAGTCATGGACAGTCAGCTGCCGCCACAAGGATGTCTCACATCGTAGCGACCGAACCCCCGCCCCTCCGGTTTATCACTCGGTAACTAGGCCAGGCTGCCAGGCCCCCCACACACACCCCGACACTGTGATTCAGGGAGCCACGCCCTCTGCCGTCATGCCATCTGGAGGCCTCCCAGAACAAGGGGAAAGTCACCCCGGGCCCAGCTGGTTTGATCAGAGGGAGCCAGTCAGTTCCTTCACCGCTCCCTCCATAAGAACTAGTTCAGGCCTGTCTTTGTGCGGGGGGTGAGCGGGGACTGGAACGTGGAGCTGCCTGGCCAGGCTGTGGCTTCCTGGTGGCAGAGTGAGCGGGCACACACAGCACATGGTGGGAAGGCGGTGCGCCATCCTGCCCAGCAGCCAGCCATCTGTACAGTGGCCCCTGCAGCGTGCTGCTGACTGCCCCATCCAGGCCTTCACTGTCTCCAACCCCAGACAATAGTGGCCTTGGACAGTGCGCCCTGGGATGGGGAGGCAGGGCAGAAGGGATGGGTCTTGGGGGTCAGACACCTAGGGGCTGTGGGACCCCAGTGAAGGGACTTGACCAACATGGGTGAGTGGGGCATCAAAGGAGGCTTCTGGAAGGAAGGGGCCTTAGAGCTGAGACAGAAAGAGGGGGAGACAGCCATGGGTGGGGGGAGGGGGTCAGGAGGGGCCAGAGGTGTGCAAAGGCCGGAAGGAGAGTTCGCACCTGTAGACCTCGCGTCCTGGCTCCGCACAGCAGTCTGTCCCCGTGTGTTACTAGAGGGGGGTCTTTCTCCAACAGGACACTGGCCACGATGTCCCTTCTCCCCTGCATCCCCCCCGCAGTGCGCACAGGGGCCCACCCCCCTCCCAAGCATGTACCCAGTGTGGGATTTGTACAGGGCTCCAGCCGCATATTTTGTTTGTTTGTTTGCAAGAAAGCTAAGTATCAGTATGCCACAGGTGGTCCCCATGGCGGGTATTCCTCGTTCCCAGGTGACCCTACTGGACTTTGGTGCAAGCCGGGAATTTGGGACTGAGTTCACCGACCATTACATCGAGGTGAGTGCCCTACCCCGGGGAGGTCAAGGATAAGGCCCAGGCAGGTGCTGAGACCAAAGGGTCAGGGGAGGCGCAGCACCTGGAATCGAGACGGAGTAAGTCAGGATAATGGGAACAGCGGCTAGCAGCTGCAGAGCGCGCCCGTTAGGTCAGGTGTTGTCTTCTAGGCACTGATTTCATTTTTAAAGATTTATTTATTTTCATTGGAAAGTCAGATTTACAGAGAGAAGGAGAGACAGAGAAGGATCCTCCATCCACTGGTTAATCCCCCAAGTGGCTGCATCAGAGCTGAGCTAATCTGAAGTCAGGAGCCAGGAGCTTCTTACGGGTATCCCACACGGGTGCAGGGTCTCAAGGCTTTGGGCTGTCCTGCACTGCTTTCCCAGGCCACAAGCAGGGAGCTGGGTGGAAAATGGTTGCCCCATCCAGGATCTGAACTGGCACCTATATGGGATTCCAGTGTGTGCAAGGCGAGGATTTTAGCCACTAGGCTACCATGCCGGGCCCTGATTTTTTTTTCTTTTTTTTTTTTTAATTTTTTTTTTTATTTGAAAGAGTTATAGAGAGAAAAAGAGATCTTCCATACACTCGTTCACTCCCCAAAACGCCGCCATGATCAGGAGCCAAGAGCGGGTGTAGGAGCTATTTAAAATGTAGTCTTTGCTTGTACATATGAGCAATGAAAATTGGGAGAGAATGTTGGATGCAAGGTGCAGTGAAAAACCGACGCCATCAGTCTCTCTTGTGAACTAGGAAAATAATGTCTGTGTACATGTATGTGGTATATATCCTCGTTTATGCTTTTTTTAGATATGCTTTTTATTCACATCATGTTAGAGTTAAACTTACACATCTTTACAGATTTTATATACACAGTGGTATTGAACGGCATTTATTTGAGTGCTGGACAGGTGCTTTTGTTTAATAGAGAAGTCTCCATCCTGGAGAGAGGAGTTGGTAATCCACCGGAGAACGTGAAGGCTCAGGAAAGGCTTCTGGAGCCATCTTCTGGAGCCATCCTCTGCTGCCCTCCCAGGCCACAAAGAGCTAGATCAGAAGCGGAGCAGAACTTGGACCTGGGCACCCGTCTGGGAAGCCAGCAGCTATCCACGGTTTAGCCATTGATTTGAACCATTCAGCACTGCTCTGGGGGATGGAAGTGAGACTCACAGAGGTCAAGCTGCTTGCTCAAGGTGACAGAATCACCCTCAGGTCATTTGGATGTGAGGCCCTGCACCTGCCTCTCTGTCCTAAAGGAAAGGGCTACAGTGGCTGCTGACCTGTCACCTCCCTGGTCCACCCACAGCAGGGCAGTGGCGTCCATGTCTGCCTGGGTAGTGGCTCTCCCCCCACCTCCCCACACCCACCCGAGAGCTCCGCCTGCTCACCCACCTTCACACCCCACGTTCCCTCCCTGCAGTGTCCATCCATCTCAGGCTGCGGGAAGCCACATTTCATCTGCATGCTCTGATTTGGGCCATTGGTCCACATGTTTCCCATCACCTCCTCTCTGTGCCCAGCCCTCTTCCTGGCGACACTGGCACAAACAGGGTTCCCACCTTCACCAAACTCATAGACCCCCAGGGGTTCAGGGCTGGGCTGGGCGGAAGCTAAGGGGTCCTTGTGTGTCCAGGGTGGCCTTCCTGGAGGAGGAGACAGCCAAGGATGAGGAGGACCAGTCAGGAAGGGTGTTCCAGGGAGCAAGGGCACTTGGAGCGGGGTGCTGGTACTGTGCTCCCGTCCCCCTGGGCATCCTGCTAAAATGCAGGCTGCAGGCCCCAGCACAAGATGCCACATTCCCAGCAGGGCTCCCGGGTGACCATGCTGCGGGTTGGATGGCCCTGGAGGAATGAGAGGAAACACACATCCCAGCTGGGAGGGCAGGGCTGACCTGAGGGCCAGGGGGATGGAGGCTCAGCCTGGGTGCTGGGGCAGAGGGCACGCCTTGCTTTGCCCAGTCTGGGGACTTGAGCAAGGGTGGGACTTACTCAAAATAAGAAAGCCACCTGTGATAGCTGATGGTCTCCGAGGTGCGCAGGAGTGGATCGTGGGCCTGCCATCACGGGGGGGGGGGGGGGGGGGGAGGCAATCGCTGGCATCCCCTCCCCACACACAAGGCCCCAGTTCAAAAACGCCCTCAGACACTGGTGTCTAAGGACCTCAGGCCCCACAGATGGCCTGGCCCGGGCAGGGGGAGCTGAGACACCACAGCCGCCAGATTGATGCCGCGTGTACCCCTCCCCCACCCCAGCCCCACAGAAAGGAGAGCGCGGTGGTGGCTAAGGGCTGGCCCGTTTCACCGCCCATTGTCCTCCATCACCCGTCCCCCCTCCCACACCCACCTCCTAGTAACAGCAGCTCCTGCTGTCCAAATAGGCTGCAGCATAATGCGTGCCCTCCCAGTGTGTGCTCCAGGCCGCACACCGAGTGGCTAAGCCAAGCTTCGCCCAGGACATCCTGAGCACCCGACCACAGGCCCCACACCCAACGGAGCCCGACCAGGGAGACCTCGAGACGCAAGCTGGATGCTAAGACCAGGCCTTGTCCAGCTAAGCGTCTTAGCAGCCTCCACACTTCCGGTCCTCTGTGGCAGCTTGACAGTCTCGGGAGGCGGCCACAAGCCCTGGCCACCCCCACCTCCAGGCTCTGGAGGGAGACCCAGGCGGGGGCAGAGAGGGGCAGTCCAGGTCAGTGAGACTGGAGGTGACCCTAGGCTGGGCCAGGCATCTCCTGGGCTCCAGAGCAGCTTTCACCACCCATGCTCTGATCCCGCTGGTTCCCTGTCCCTCTGCCCCAACCAGGTGGTGAAGGCTGCAGCCGACGGAGACAGAGCCCGAGTGCTACAGAAATCCCGGGACCTCAAGTTCCTCACAGGCTTTGAGACCAAGGTTGGCAGCCGCCCAGTGTGGAGCTGGGGGGTGGGGGAGGGTGTGTGTGTGTTGGGGGGGCTGCTTTTTCCTACATTGACAGGGAGGAGCAGCTGTGTGGATGCTCGCCCATATTGGGGGGCTCTGGGGAGGAGTGGGAGCTGCAGGAACCCTGGGAAAATGGGTACCACCAGGGGCTGCTGGAGGGCGGATGTGGGGGAGTGTTTCCCCCGGGGGTGGGGTGAAGTGGAGAACCTCACCTCAATCCCTGGCCTCCTCTGCCGTTCCCACCGCTAGGCGTTCTCCGACGCCCACGTGCAGGCCGTGATGATCCTGGGGGAGCCCTTTGCCACCCCGGAACCTTATGACTTTGGGGCCGGGGACACGGCGCAGCGCATACAGGGCCTCATCCCCGTGCTGTTGAGGCACCGGCTGCGCCCACCGCCCGAAGAAACCTACGCCCTACACCGCAAGCTGGCCGGGGCCTTTCTGGCCTGTGCCCGCCTCCGCGCCCGAGTGGCCTGCCGGGACCTCTTCCAGGACACCTACCGGCGCTACTGGGCCGGCCGCCAGGCGCAGCCACAGCCGCCAGCCTCCTGAGCGGCAGGGACCTCCTGCCTGCACCCTCCGACAGCCAGCCTCTGCTCCATGGAGGCCCACCCGGCTGCCGCCCTGGGCCTGGGGCACCCTGGGGGCTAGGGGAGCCCCCTCCGCAGCGGGCACCCAGGGGCAACTAACCCAGGAGGCCGGTTAACTTATTTCTACCAAATCTGAAGGCGTCACCTACCCGCCCTCCCCACCACCTAGCCCTTATTCCTGGCTCCCAGCATCCGCTGGTGAAGGTGGAGCCAGCCCTCACCTGTGCCGCCCTCCCACCCACCTCCTCTTCCACCAGCTGCCTGGTCCCAGGCTCCAGCCTCCTCCGGCCATGGGAGGGGCGTGTGGGGGCAGGGATGGGACCCTGGACTTTCATCCCAATAAATGCAAGGCGGCCTGCCCCATCCCCGACGACCCTTTTTTCTCCGCTTTTGGGGGAGGAGGGTGCAAGAGGCCACCAGGTGCAGATGGCTAGCCCCCCACACCCCCTTGTCTGGAAGCCCCAGCCCTGGCGGGGCCATCTGTTGCCGGGAACCACCCCCAGCCGCCCCCCATGCTGACCACCTGCTCCAAGGGCTGTGGCCGCCACCGCTGCTGCTGAGTACACACACAGCACACACGGGCAGCGGGCTCCCTCCCCTCCAGCCCAGCAACCTCGCCTTTTATAATGGGCCCTAATGCCCCTGCCAGCTGCTTTGCCAAACCCACAGGGCTGGGAGGGGAGGGGGTTGGGTGAAGAGCAGGCGTGCAGTGGCAACCAGAACCGCACCCTGGTCCCAGCCCCGTACCCCCACCCCCACCCCAGCCCCTCCGGACCAAGCACTGCGATGTTGGGGTCTGCCCATTCCTCCCCTCCCCTTCCCTGCAAAAAAAAAAAAAAAAAATGCCTCGTCATCGCTTCCGCCCGCCCCCGCCGCCAGGCTGGGAGAACTGTGGGGTTAACAGGAAGATTTGGGGACGTGGGAATGTGGGACGCGGAACTAGAGGGGATCTGAGGTCAGGGGTCCCCGAAAGCAAGGGAGCCCCAGGCGGGAGGCAGGCCCGGGGGAAGCACTCGGGGAGCCCCGAGAACGTGCCCGGCCGGCGGCTGGCCAGGGGGCGTGGCGGGGCGGTGGCCGGGGGCGGGGCTGCTTGCATATGCAGCAGGCGGCGGGCCAGGGGGCGGGGCCGGGGCGGGGAGCCCAGGCTGCAGGGACGCTCCCCCGCCCCCGGAACGGAATCCTCCGGGGAGCGGAGCTGGCTGGCGCGCGTGCATCCCGCACCATCCCCGGCCCGCGTCAGACCGAGCCGCCGCCGCGGCCACAGCAGCAGCAGCAGCAGCAGCAGCAGCAGCAGCAGCAGCAGCGGCGCTCGGGGTGGCCGGGCCCAGCCGGGGCCGCGGGAGGCGGGGGCGCCCGGGCCCTGGATGTCCCGCAGCGCAGCGGCCAGCGTGAGCAGGGCGGGAGAGGGGGGCTCGGGTCGGGGGCGGCGCCGCTGCTGATGTGGCGGAGGGTGGGAGGCGGCAGCAGCAGCAGCAGCAGCAGCGGCGCCCGGATGGAGAGAGGGTGCCAAGGCTGGAAAAGGTAGTACTGGGTGGTGGCGTTTTGAGGGGTGTCTGGGAGCAGGCCCCCACCCTCCGCCAAGCCAAACCCGGGGAGCTGGGGCCCAGGTCATCTTTTGGCAGGGCCCTCAAAATGGGGATCCTGGATGAGACCCTCCCTAGATCAAGAACAGGGGTGCAGGGAGATTCTAGGCTCAACTCCCGAGGCAAGGTTTTGGGGATGGGGTTTGGGACCCAGCCCCCACATCAAGCCAAGGCCTCCAAGGGAGGGATTCCGGACAGAATCCCAACCCCTCCCTGCTTGGAAGGAGGGTAGTGTTCTGAGTGGGACAGCCCCCTAGGCCACATCTGGAGGACAGGGTCCCTGGGGACAGCTCCCCCCACCCAGCCAAAGCCTTGGGCGATTGGAAGCACAGTGTGTCCCAGGCCTGACACACCCGCGGCCTCAGCATCTCCCACAATCCCGGGGCGGAGTCCCAGGCACAGCCCCTGCTCAAAACAAAGTCCCTGGACCTCGGGCGCCCACCGTGGCCATCCCAGCCCGGATAAGGGGGATTTCAGGCAAGCTCCAATCCGCCCCTCCCCCTCCCACCGACCTGGTTAAGGGTCCCGGAGTACAGGCCCCTAGGCCACCCTCTTTGTCCATGGGGCTGCCCAGCCATCTGAGAGAGAAAGAGGCCCCACCACCCGCAGACCACGGGTTGCCTCCCCCTCCCAGACCCGGTCCCCTCCCTGGCTCCAGAATTGAGAGCAGGACTGGGGGCGGCTCCCCTGGGGACCCTGTGCAGCCCTGGCTGGTTGCAGTCTCTGTGGTGACGTCGCTGATGGCGGCTTTGTGTGTGGTACCTGGGGGGGAGGGAGGAGGGGGAAGCAAGCGATTGGAGGTGGCTAGGATCAGGACCCCGCGTCTGGGTGGCTCTGTGTGTGTGTGTGTGTGTGTTGCAGCTGATGGCTGAGGGACCCGTGTTGTGGACATGTGTGTATGCTTGCATGTGGCAGTGCGCATATGTGGTCCCAGCATTTCTGTAAGTGTGTGTGTGTGTGTGTGTGACAGAGAGAGACAGCAGCTCCCTACACAGACAGCCCTGTGCTTCCTAGCCTGTCTGTCTTGGGGTATATGCCTGCCTATGACGTGCTTGGGACCCTGCATTTGTGTGTCTGGGGACCTGGAGCTGGAGTCTCAAGGCCTGTGTGCTGAGTGCGGGTCTGGTGTGGGTGTGAGTGGAGTGGTGTCTGTGGGCCACTCTCCTGGTGACTGGAAAGTGTGTGAATGATCTGGTTGAGATGTGTGACACACGGCCGTTGGCAGTACTGGAGTCACGCTGGGCCACAGGGACGCACGGCGTGACAGTAACAGCGTGTCCCTGCTGTGTGTGTGTGTGTGTGTGTTTACTAGCCGGTGATTGTGGCTATCTTGGGGTTCTGCCTCTGTGGTTTGGTTATGCGTTGGACTTGTTTCTGAGGCCTGGGGTGTCAGGATGGGGTAGTTAATGGGTTGCTACTCAGCTATGGCCCTGACTGTGCTGACACCAGTTGTGGTGTGTGTGTGTGTGTGTAAGGGGGTGGTGTATGTGGATGCCTGGACTGGGTGACACGCTGCGGAAGTGCCTGGTCCCCACCTGCCTCCGGGGCTCTGGCAGGACCTGAGGCTTCTGTGTAAGGCTGGCCCTACGTGTAACATTGGGGTTTCTGCCTTGCTGTGCCCGTGTGCCGGAGGACATGGGAACTGTGTGCTGATCGGCGTCTCTGCGTGTGGAAGTGTTATGGCTGCAGGTGGGGCTGTGACTGGGTGCCGCTGTTCCCTGGGGCAGCAGGGTGACATGTGGCCATACACTTGTTGAGGTGACTGATGTACATGATGGTGTGGCATGGAACAGCTGTGGACCGGACGCGGATGCTGTGTGCCTGCGCATCCGTCAGCATTTCTGGAATGTTCGTGGCTGGGTCTGAGGGTGGCTGGCCTTGAGGGGAAGTTGTCTCTGGAAGGTGGCATGCTGTGTCTCAGACAGGCAGCATCCCTGGAATGCACAGAGCCGGGGAAGGGACCGTCCATCTCAGTGTGTTAGGCTGTGTGACTGATACAGTGGCAGAAAACAAGCATTGATGATGGGTGTGACTGTGTGACAGCAAATGACCAAAAAAAAAAGTGTTGATGTGACTGAGGCACTTGAGGCTGAACATTCATGTGTGGCTATGTGTGAAACCACACATGACCAGATGGTGTGTGCAGCATGGGGACATGCAACAAGCGTGTGCGTGTGGCTGTGACTGTTCCTGTGCCTGGGGCCTGTCCAGGCGGGTGAACTCTAGCTGGAGGGGACTTGTGACATGGTGTCTTGGGTTGGTGCCCGAGGAAGCAGAGCTGCCGCTGGGTGTGGTCACACATGTGCTGGGTGGGTGTGCCTGGACCCAGTGTTTGGTATGTGGCTGAGAAAGGGAGTGACCAGATCACAGGAGCCCGTGTCCCGTAGTGGCGTCTGGGTGGGCGGGAACACCCCGTGGTCTGTATGGAGCTGGTCTGTGAACGTGAACTTGTAACCACATACTCAGAGCAACAATCACCTGTATGGTCAATGGGGTGTGGAACTGTGACCAGGTCCCCGGCACAATTGTTGACACCACTGTGACATGTGTCACTCATGCGTGACACTGGGACAGGCGTCTGAAGGACGCGGCCACTCTCTCACACCTAGGGGCCTTGACCCACACATCCCAACCGATGTCCCACCCCCAGACACACCCACTCTCTCCTGAGCCCTTGCATCTAGGTGGATGATCTCCCTAGTAACAGTTGCTATGACAATTAGGGCCCCCATACAGGAGCCTGGCAAGGAGGGGGCTGGTTGAAGTTCAGACGGGGCATAAGGTAAGGGACCGAACCCCCACCCAAAGCAAACTTCTCACTCTGTCCCCACCCCTTTGGGCAGGGCGGACCCAGGAGGCCTGAGCGGCAGCTGCCCCCAGCCCCGGGTGGGGCCCTGGGGCCCCCCGAAACCTCCAGGACGGAGCCAGGTAAGTGGCCAGCAGGGCATAGGGGAGGGGCTGAGCAGATACAGGGGGTCTGTCCAGCAGGACTGGAGGGCATCTTCCTGGCACACTCTGGATAGGGGAGCCTCCCCATGCACCACACACTCCAACACCTGCACACTGGGAGAGCCAAGTGTCATGGGTGATCACACACGTGCACGCACACACAAGTGACCATGGCCTCTTGCACAAAGTGGGCTGAAATAAACAAGCCCACAGCACATGGTGTTCATACACGAGGGTCTGCACACACAAGACATACTTGACGCCAGACTTCCCGCACAGGTGCACGCTCTGTACAGACTTCCGGACGCCGCACTCACACCCTGGCTTTCAGAGTGTAAAGAAAGAGCTTCTAGCTGCTGGTTCACTCGCACACCTGCAGCAGCAGGGGCTGGGTCAGGGCAAAACCAGGAACCCGTGACTCCAGCTGGGTCTCCTAAGTGGGTGGCAGGAACCCAGGCACTCCAGCCACCCCCTCCTGTTGCCTTTCAGGATTGCATCAGTGAGAGGCTAGATCAGAAACTGAGTAGCTAGGGCTGGAGTCAGACACTTGGTTTTGGGATGGGGGCATCCTCCCGAGGAGGTCGCTTACCCTGCCATGCCACCACACCAACCTTGCAGCCTCCCAAACCACACCTGGGTGTCCCACTCCACCCCACCCCAGACCTCCTGGGACCAGCCACCTCCCTCACACACCCCCTACTCACAGCTCCACCCACGACTGTCCCAGGTGCACCCCACAGAGTTTCTGAGTCTCATTGCTCCCCATCCTGCACCCCTGACCCCCCAAAAATTCGCCTAATCCCAGCCTCTGCTCCTCCCAGGCCCTGAGATCCCCTAATTTGTGACCCTGCTACAACCTCTTTCCCAAACACCTGCTCAGTAACCCCTCACTGTCATAGGATCCGACCCCGCGTTCCCCAATATCCCAGCACTGCACCCACCACCTTGCGTCCCCTCGCCCTTCTGACTGTTAACCAATGTCCGCAGACGGGGCGGGCACCATGAACAAGTTACGGCAGAGCCTGCGGCGCAGGAAGCCGGCCTACGTGCCCGAGGCGTCGCGCCCGCACCAGTGGCAGGCAGATGAGGATGCGGTGCGCAAGGGCACCTGCAGCTTCCCGGTGCGGGTGAGTGGGCAGGGCCTTGGCTCGGGACCCCCTGCCCAGCAGCCAGAGGGGTGCTGGGGTTGGGGAATTGGCGTTGCAAACCGGGACTTGTTTTCCGTACCGCCTCATCCAGTCTGTTGGGGGCGCCCTGGACAGGTCAGATTGCAGAGACACCCGCACCTCTGCCACATTCGCTGCACTTGAATTCTAAGGGACGCAGCCCCTCCTTGGCTGGGGAATGGACATGGACCGCAGTCCACCCCAAAGCAGACCTGGAGGGTGAGGGATTTCGGAGGCGCAGGAAGCGCCGGTGGCCTTTGAGGAACAGTAGGCAGTCATTAACAGGTGACTGACTTACTCAGCTACCACTGTCGCTGACCCACCGCGCTGACCTCACCTGGGCCAGGGAAGCAGGCAGTGCAGACACAGGTGCAGCCCACCTGCGCTGGTCATTACAGACCAGGACCCTTGCAGCTTGCGGGGTGGGGGCCTGGGGTTCCTCCACAGCCCAGAAATGCCAGCCAGTATTACCCTGAGGAGGACACCCGTGAACTCTTCCTGGGGACACGGCTACCCACTTGTGCGTGGTTTCCCATCTGTGTAACCAGGGCAGGAGTCAGGTCCCCACCCTGTAGAATCGGGGTGTGTGTGATGTGCTGAGGTGTAGCCATGCCCAGTGCATGCTGGGCTGGCCGGCCACTGTCCTTGCTTCACACCCCCTGTTCCCCGCCCCTAGTACCTGGGCCACGTGGAGGTGGAGGAGTCGCGTGGGATGCACGTGTGTGAGGAAGCAGTGAAGAGGCTGAAGGCCGTGAGTGAGGGACAGCGGGAGGGAGGGGCGGCGAGGGAGGGCGCCGCTCACGGGGGGATGGGACCAGGCAGCCCTCACCTGGCTCCCCGTCACCCTTTGCCTCACCCCCTCCCCCAGATGGGCCGGAAGTCCGTAAAGTCTGTCCTGTGGGTGTCGGCGGATGGGCTCCGTGTAGTGGATGACAAGACCAAGGTAGGAGGCCTGTGAGGCTGGGGTGGGCATCTGTGGGCTCCTCTCAGGCTGCTGGGATCGGACTGGGCCTGAACAGCTTCCTCCTCTGGGACGTCCCCCGCCCGACCCGGAACCTCCCCGCTCTGCGCAAGCTGTGCATTCCTGCCACACCTGACTGGCTTTTTGGTGAGCCCCTGTGGCTCCGATCCTTGTTTGCCCCCTTGCCAGCTGGGGGACCCCGACATAGGAGGGAGCCCCTTTGGGTCTCAGTTGTTGCATCTGAAACATGGGCATACAGACAGACCCTTCTGTGACATGAAGACATGTTAACCATGGTTGGAAACAGAACCTGGCCCAGCATGGTGCCTGGACCCATCAGGGAGGCCAGGATGGCCATACAAGACCGGAGGCTGGGTGTCTACCTGCTCATGGGGTCCGCTTGCCAACAGCCTGGAGGCTGTCTAGAGTGGGTGCTCTGGGAACTGGGTTGATAACAGAGCAGGCTCACTTGGCCTGAGTCCTGTGCCCTACCTGGTTGCCCAGCTCACACCAGGAGGCGTGGCCTGGCCCTCCCCAGGTAGGGTCAAGCACCCTTTGTTAGCTCCTGCTGACCCCTGGGTCACCCCATCTGGGTCCTGAGCCCTCTACCCAGGCCTGCCTCCTCACAGTCTGGCTGATGCCCTGGCTGCCCACTCCACTCAGGGCGGAGTAGGTGTGACAACCTCTACCTCACCCCTGCTGTAAGCGGGGCTTGTGGCCATCTCCCTGACACCTGCGCCTCTCCCAGGACCTGCTGGTGGACCAGACCATTGAGAAGGTGTCATTCTGTGCACCTGACCGCAACCTGGACAAGGCCTTCTCCTACATCTGCCGCGATGGCACCACCCGCCGTTGGATATGCCACTGCTTCCTGGCCCTCAAGGACTCTGTGAGTGCCACTGCCCGTGCTGTCCCCTCCCCTCTGCCACTCTGGAGCGGCCTCCCCAGGGCTAGCTGGCCCAGCTGCACAGACCCCAAGGGCAGGTGGTTCATCTCTCTGTGCCCAGAAGGGGGCGTCCTCACAGCTGCTAGCAGAGAGCTTGTGTGTGAGATGGTAATGGGCTAACAACAAGCGGTGTAGACTGTGCTGCCTGGGAACTGTGCTCGGAGTCCCGGTCGCCCTCACTCTTGGCGGTGTTTCCTGAGACGTGGACAGATGGGCCAGGGCCCGCAGCCTCAGCCACACCACGTTACAGGGCATTTCAAGCCCATGACAGCCAGCCGCCTTCAGGGCAGCCACAGTGCCCTGGCTCACCTCCAGGAGGTGGGCAGCCACCCCCACTCCCTGCGGGTTGGGGCCGGTGCCCAAGGTTTTGGGGAGACCAAAGTGTGTTTCTGTGTCCTGTGAAGGAGATGCAGAGGCAGGCATGCAGTGCTGGGGTGGCTCCTCCGTGCCGCTCAGGGGCCGTGGACACTCAGGGAGACCTTGCTCCCTCACTCCAGTTGGAGGCATCTGCTCCAACCCTCACCTCTTCGCTCCAGCCAGCACAGGGGAGGGAGGCCCTCGGAGGGGTCCCCTCTCTGGTTTGGGAATCTGCATACTCTTTGCAGCGGCTTAGCAGCCCATTGGCCAGAACCTGGGCACGTGGACATTGCTGGCGACCAATGGCCAGCGAAAAAGGCGGGCTTTATTCTGGCCTGACCTCAGGCCCTACACAGGTCTAGTAAATGCCCTTGTCTGGTTGCTGGCAGTGGATACTGATGTTGCTATTGGATACCCACACCCAGACAACCAGAAGGACGTGAGGGGCCTTACAAACTGACGGGCAGTGGGATGGCATAGAGCATCAGATACCCCAGCTGTATTGGGGTGTGGCGCCTGGGAGGGGGCAGTCCCTCAAAGGACTCTGTGTTCAGACTCCAGAAGGAGGGGTCGACACTGTGGCTCAGTGGGTTCAGCGTTGCCTGGCTTGGGATGCTGGCCTACCTCCCACATCTGGCATGTCCCAGCTCTCCATGCTGCTCACCCTGCCTGCTGCTCACGCACATGGGAAGCAGCAAGGATGGCCCAAGTGCTTGGGAAACCTGAATCAAGTTCCTGGCTCCTAGCTTAACCGTAGTGTTCATTTGGGGAATGAACCAGCAGATGGAAGACCTTGCTCTCTCACTCTCTCTGTCTACCTTTTAAATAAATAAATAACAGTGTCCTCTAATGCACAAATGCTTATATCTTAAATTCTAATATCAAAGGGTCTGGGTTAGCCTAGCGGGGTCACTGTCTTCCCCTTGGTGGGGACAGAGCGAAACACCTGTGGGAGAGGGGTTTGCCAAAGAAACAGGGGAATGTCATTACCCCAACTAAGGGGCTCAGATGCTGGGCTGGTAACGCTCGCCCTCGCCCACCCTAGCAGGCCCCGCCCTGTTTTAGACATTCCCAACCTCATGGCTCATGGTGGCTACTGTCACCGAGGGTGGCACGGTGTTCAGCAGGGGCATCGGTTAGCTGTCACTGCCAAGCATTGCCAAGCATCCGGATGCAGTTGTGGTTTCTGTGGGTGAGGACCTGGTGATGCTGGCGCCACCAGACAGTGCCTGGAGCTGTCAGTGGGAACCCCAGGACACGTGTCTGTCTCTGCCTGCAGTTTCAGCTCCTCTCCCCCAGCACCCTCCAGCCTGGAGCCATTAAGGTGGCTCAGAGGCTGGGAGCTTGACACAGGTAGAAGGCAGAGGAAGGAGAGTGTGCCAGGAGGCAGCTGCAGGGCCATTTGGAACTCCTGTGCCCCAGCTCCCTGTCAGCGCTGACCTGTGTCTGTCACTGTGGGTTTTCTGAACATTTCATGTGATGGAGTCGCATTGACTGGTGCCCTCAGGTCTGGCTTCTGTCATGGAGCCTTGGGTGTGCATTGTCGTGTCTGTGTCCCTGGACTGTGATGCATTCTTCCTTCTGGCTGACAGCCATCCCATCACGTGGCTCTCCATGTTATGAATTTGCTCAGTGGTGCCAGGACTTTGGGGTGTGTGCACCTGCTGTGAGCAGGGCTGCTGTTCGTGTGGGGCGGGAGTTTGGGGTGTGTGCACCTGCTGTGAGCAGGGCTGCTGTTAGCATGCGAGGGTTTGGGTGAACACCTCAGCTCCTTGGGGCAATACCAAGGATTGGAACCCAGGGCCCCTCGGTTAGCCATGTTTAACTTTTGCAGGTGCATTTAAATTATTTGATGAATTCCTCTCCGAGGCAGCAAGACCGTTCAGATTTCTCTGTGTTCTTACTAACACTTAGTTTCCCTTTGTTATTGTCATCACAGACATACTGGTATGTGGGAAATGGCTTCTCCCTAAAGTTTCAACTTGCATTTCCCTGATGGCAAATGATGTTGACTGTCCTTTTCACACCTGTACCTTCTTGGGTGAAAGGGTTAAGTAATGCCTTTAGTCTTAAAAAAAAAAAAGATTTATTCGAGGGGCGGGTATGGTGCACAATAGGCTATCTGTCCTGTGGTGCTCGCATCCCAGCTACTGCACTTCCTATCTAGCTTCCTGCTTATAGCTTTGGGAAAGCAGCAAAAGATGGTTCAAATTTTTGGGACCCTACATGTACATGGGAGACACAGAAGAGGCTCTTGGCTCCTGGTTTCAGATTAGCTCAGTTCTGGTCATTGCAGCCATTTGGGGAGTGAACCAGCATATGGAAAACCTTCTCTGTCTCTCCTTCTCTCTATATAAAATCTGCCTTTCAAATAATAATAATAATAATAAAAAGACTTATTTGAAAGGCAGAGTACAGAGAGATCTTCACTCGTCTGGTCACAATAGTCTGGGCTGGGCCGGGCCAAAGCCAGGAGGCAGGAAATCTGTCTGCGTCTTCTGCTTGGGTGCAGTTCCCCAAGCGCCCTCCTAGGTGCAGTAGCGGGGAGCTGGATCAGAAGCAGAGCAGCTGGGACCTGAGCCAGCACTTCTACAGCTGTGAAGTAGTTTAACCACTGCACCACGATGCCAGCCCCTCCTTTACCCATTTATAAATTGGGTGACCTCTTTTTTTTATTATTAAGTTATTAGAGTTCTTCCTATATGCTGGGTATTGAACCCTTTTGAGATGTCCGATTTGCAAATACTTCTCCCTCTTTAAGATTTTTCCCCGCTTCTTAACGGTGTCCTCTAATGCACAAATGCTTTAATCTTGCTGAAGTTTATCTTTTCATTTCTTTTTACTGAAGATTTTTTTCTTTTTACTGGAAAGGCAGATGTGCGGAGAGACGTTAACTCCTCTAATGGCCACAATGGCCGGAGCTGAGCTGAGCTGATCTGAGCCCAGGAACCAAAGCTTCTTCCAGGTTTCCTGTGTGGGTGCAGGGTCCAGAGGCTTTGGGCTGTCCACTGCTTTCCCAGGCCATGAGCAGAGAGCTGGATGGGAAGTGGAGCAGCCAGGACACAAACAGGCGTCCATATAGGATCCTGGCATTTGCAAGGGGAGGATTAGTCAATTGAGCCATCACACTGGGTCTTCTGTTCATTTCTTACATTTAGGACTTTGATCATTTTTTTTTTCAAATTTATTTTTATTTAAGTGACAGGTTTACAGAGAAAGGAGAAACAAGGAGAGGGATCTTACATACACTAGGTCACTCCCCAAATGGCTGCAATGGCCAGAGTTTGGCAGGTCTGAGGCCAGGAGCTTCTGCCAGGTCTCCCACATGGGTGCAGGGGACCATCCTTCGCTGCCTTCCCAGGCCGTAAGAAAGGAACTGGACAGAAGGTGGAGCAGCCAGGACTCCAGCAGGCAGCCATATGGGATGCCAGAGCTGTGGGTAAAGGATTAGCATGCAATGCCAACATGCCAGCCCCTGATCCATTTTGAATTACTTTTTGTATATGAAGTCAGCTTTATTTTTTCCCCCCATGGGAATCCAATTTTCCCAGCATCATTTGTTACAGAAAATATTTTTTCTCCCATCAAATGGTCTTGGCAGGCACCCTTGTTGAAACTTGGTACCCTTAAGTCTGTCTGTCTGTCCAGGTTGTCAATTCTATTTCATTCTTACTGTCTTGTCCTTGATAGATACTGAGGTAGGATTACAGAGAAGGGAGGGAGGGAGGGAGGGAGGGTGGAAGGGAGGGAGGGAGGGAGGGAGGGATGGAGAAAGAGAGGGAGAGGACTTTCCCATCCTGCTGCTGCTTCCCTCTCCAAGTGGCCACAGCAGCCGGGGCTCAGGGCAGATGGACGCCAGAAGCCAGGACCTCCATCCAGGTCTCCCGTGTGGTTGTGGTGGCCTAAGCACCTGACCCATCACTGTCTCCTCGCAGGCTCCAGGCAGCCCAGGTGCTGGAAAGTGTGTGGGACACGGGTATCCCAGCTGGAAACCTCCTTTTTTTTTTTTTTTCTTAAAGATGTATTTATTTTTATTGGAAAGGCAAATATACAGAGAGAAGAGGAGACAGAGAGAAAGAGCTTCCATTTGTTAGTTCATTCTCCAATGGTTCCAGAGTGGCTGCAATGGCCGGAGCCGAGCCAATCCAAACCCAGGAGCCAGGAGCCAAGAGTCTCCCACGCGGGTGCAGGGTCCCAAGGCTTTGGGCCGTCCTGCACTGCTTTCCCAAGTCACAGGCAGGAAGCTGGAAGGGAAGTGAAGCAGCCAGGACACAAACTGGCGCCCATATGGGGTCCCAGTGTGTGCAAGGGGAGGACTTTAGCCACTAGGCTACCGTGCCGCACCCTCTCCTGTTTTTTTTTAAAAGATTTATTTCATTTTTTTTTTATTACAAAGTCAGCTATATATATAGAGAGGAAGAGAGACAGAGAGGAAGATCTTCCACCCGATGATTCATTCCCCAAGAGACCGCAACGGCCAATGGTGCACCAATGCGAAGCCAGGAGCTCTTCCGAGTCTCCCATATGGGTGCAGGGTCCCAAGGCTTTGGGCCATCCTGCACTGTTCTCCCAGGCCATAAGCAGGCAGCTGGATGGGAAGTGTAACAGTACATGAACTGGTGCCCAAATGGGATCCTGTCAGATACAAGGCAAGGATTTAGCCACTAGGCCATTGTGCTGTGCTCCCAGTTGGCCCCTTTTGACAAGGACCCTAGGTACCCTGATGGCCTCACAGCAACACCTCCAGGCATCACATCGCAGCCGGGCTGCAGCAGGGGCAAACAGTGCCTTTGCCAGATGCTGGTGGTTGTGGACAACTGGAGCTCCAGGCCTGTCAAGATCTGGCCCCCAGATCTCATCCCCCTCCTGTCCCCTGCACTGCCATTGCACGAGTCATGACAACTTCTGACTTGTCACATGTATTGATCGCTCCTGAGCTGGTGCGGAAGGTATCCGTCCGGGGGTCCCCCCAGAGCCCCTGAGCCCAGCCCCTACCTCTCCACAGGGCGAGAGGCTGAGCCACGCCGTGGGCTGCGCGTTTGCAGCATGCCTGGAGCGGAAGCAGCGCCGGGAGAAGGAGTGCGGGGTCACCGCGGCCTTCGATGCCAGCCGCACCAGCTTTGCCCGCGAAGGTTCCTTCCGCTTGGCTGGGGGAGGCCGCGCGGCCGAGCGAGAGGCCCCCGACAAGAAGAAAGGTGGGTGCCAGCCGTGCGTGGTACATGGTGCGCTTTTTAAGGAGGTGTGCAGACTGGGTGCTGCAGGCCAAACAAACCCTGGGGGTGTTGATGACCTGCCAAGCTGGGGGCTCAGGTACGTCAGAGTAGAGGCGTCACCGAGCTTAGGACGTGCGGGGAGGGTGGAGCCTGGCCTCCCAGCTTCCTTACTGCCTGCAAGCCCTGGCTTGTCCTCCAGAAAGTTTGCAAAGCACCTGTTGGACAGAGAACATTGTGGGTCAGTGATTGTTACTGGGAAGGCACAAAATTCATATTTTTACACCATCCTGGTACACGGGTCCTTACAAAAGTTCCTTCAGTGAGGGACTGAAAGATGAATTGATGTGGGTGCAGAAATATTGAAATCCGCGCATATGAAGAATCTTCAGAAAGTTCTAGCTAAATGAGGCCCGTGAAAAATCTCCGCATGCCTTCTTTTGCACCAATAGAAACCTCTTCCTTCTGTTTTTCCACGAACTTGCTGAAGGACCTGGCATGTATGTGCCAAATCATGGTGTAATTAAAACCAGTTTTTGTTTTTTTGTTTCTGAAAATTTTGTTTTTTTAAAAAATGTTTGGAGAGTGAGGTTGAGTGTTTACAAAGAACTGGGAACTGACTTGGACCAAGGGAGACTGGGCTGGCCGTCAGGAACGCCCAAAGCCTCGGGATCTGCACCCCATGCTGCTGCGTGGGGCTGTGGGTTGTATAGAGGACGGACGGAAGGACGCACGGACGGGGCAGCTGTGGCGATGAGGGACTGTGGTTGGATGGTTGGATCGGGGCTTTGCAGCTGGTTGAATTCTCCCAGACGCAAACTATATCAGAAAATAATAATAATAACACTAAAGAGGGATTACTTATCCAGGCACACACCACTGTGACAGGTTCCCCTCCGGAACCTTGGGTTCAGAAAAGACACACATCCATTGTTCTCTCGCACAGCTTTGCCATGGATTTGAAATCTACATATGTTACCTCTGGGAGAGAGGAGTTTACAAAGTATTTTTCCATCTAGAGATTCCATCCCTGGTTACAGAGCTCTGCACAGCTCACCCAGTCCGACCGTCTGGCTGGAGCCACTACCCGTGGGTGGCAGGAGCTCAGAGCACTTGAGCTGTGCTGGTTGCCTCCTCCTTCGTGCTCAGGCGGGGTGCAGTGGCGCCTGCCCACAGATTAGCGGCCGGCACACAGATGAGCGGCCAGCGCATGCTCCAAGGCCCTTGGTTTTGCTGTTTGCAAAGGAGCTTCTCACTCCCAAGGGCCTCTCGCTCGCCAAGCGCCCACACAGCACGGCCTTGGCCCTGGCTGTGCGACTGCAGTCCAGGGCAGCACGCATGCGCACAGCCGTGGGGCAACCACTGTCCGTGATCTTGTCTGCCAAGCTCCCGTCGCATCCCACAAGGGTCACCTCTTGCTGCCTGAGGCCCTGGAATGGAGCAGTGGGTCAAGGAGTTGGGGATGTTTATCGCAGGTATCTGGTTGGGCCAGTGAGCCCAGAGATGGAAGCAGACTTCCTGAGGTCACACAGCGGGCAGAAGTGGTTTCCTGCCAGGCCACCATGTGTCAAGTTGGGAGGAAGCAGTCGTACCTGGGTAGAAGTAGGAGGAAGCCCACCGCAGGGGGAGGGGACGCTCTCTGGCCTGGAGCAAGTTTCTCTGCATTCAGGTTGTAGTCCTGAGTGGGAAGAAGGATGGATGCCCAGTGGTCGCCAGAGCACACAGCGGGGCCGGGGAGAGCACGCTCAGGCGCAGGGGCCAGGGCAATCCGGACACTTCCCAGAGGACAGAGTGTGCAGCGCCAGGTCTGAGATGACGTAGCTGCTGGTGGACGGGAGGAGACGCCGAGACGGGGACGTGGAGGGGGAGGCAAGGAGGCAGAGCAGGGAGCCGGTAGAGAGCAAAGAAAATGAGAGAGGCGGCCATGTGGATCCCGGGCAGCCTGACTGAGCTTTGCCCGGCCTCAGTTTACCCATCTGAGAAGCAGGATTAGCAGTGACGTTTTTGGGGAGTCTTGTGGATTCAGTGAGGTTGCACTGGCTTAGCTCTTCCAGCAGTGCCTGCTATGTTAGTGCTGGTTAGACCATCCGGAAGGGAGCTAGAGGTGCAGACGGTGATGGCCGCTGGGCAGGGCAGCTTGGGGCAGACAGAGGGGCACGGAGGGTCAGGTTAGGGCCTGGGTCTCCTGAGGGCTTCCGAGGGCAGGGATCCTGGCCTGGGTGGGGGTTTGAGATGTTTCAGGGCTCAGACCCACCTGTCTGGAAGGTGAGAACAGCCTGGAAGAGGCCTCGAGCGCCACGTCTGATCACCTGTCTCCCCCAACCCCGTGTCTCTAGCAGAGGCAGCAGCTGCCCCCGCTGCAGCTCCTGGCCCCGCCCAGCCCGGACACGTGTCCCCAACACCGGCTACCACGTCCCCGGGTGAGAAGGGCGAGGCTGGCACTCCGGTGGCTGCGGGCACCACAGCAGCTGCCATCCCCCGGCGCCATGCGCCCCTGGAGCAGCTGGTTCGCCAAGGTTCCTTCCGTGGCTTCCCAGCGTTGAGCCAGAAGAACTCACCTTTCAAACGGCAGCTGAGCTTGCGGCTGAACGAGCTGCCGTCCACCTTGCAGCGCCGCACTGACTTCCAGGTGAAGGGCACAGGTAAGCGGTGGAATCCCTGGGCAGGAGCTGCAGCCGGCCGGGGGTGGGAGGAGAGGTTGATTAGCACTGTCTGCCAGGGAGAAAGACGGGAGAGGTGGACCACATCTTGATCCATCAGTAATGTCTGCCATGGACAGGGTCAGGCAGTGTCCACCATGGGAGGCTGTGGGAGAGAGGGGACCTAAGTGTCCTGTTTCGCTTGGACGGAAGGAAGACGTCCTTTCTAGCATTTGGCCTGTGGAACTGTCAGGTCTGGCCAGCCCCAGCACTGGTCGTTAAAGAAAGCTCAGTGCAGGGACAAGTATCATGCTTGACTACTAATGTCTACCCTGGGCCAAAGCGAGGAGGAGTTTATGCCAAGTGGGAGGGCCACCGTCCCTGCCAACAGTGGGTGAGGCCAGGGTGTGTGTGGCCCTCCTCCTGCCTTGCTCCCCCTGGTGGCCTTACGGACAGGGGGCTGCCAACTGCAGAGTAGCCGGTGCCGGGCCAGCAATCCCCCTCATGGCCAGCTGATGTCATGCACATTCTAGGCACCACTGTGGCCAGTTGCGCCCACACCTGCAAGTGACTCGATGCACAGAAATGCATCTCATAGGGATGTCACACCCTTGTGTCTCACACACAGCAGTGTTGAGCCGCATGGTCCCTGCCCGTCAAGCCCTCAGGAGGTCATCACAGCCGCTCTGTTGTCACATCTCTGCCTCTGCCATGGGTGGGATGGGCCAAGGCCGGGGGGGGAGGCGGATAGACAGGGCTGGGCTGCTCAGTGGTGTGGCCGACACCCACCGGGCAGGACCTGGCTGTTTGTCACACGCTCACTAGGACTGGCTTCATAATGGATGAGGGGCTCTGGGGTACCAACAGTGTCTCCTCTGGGGCCACTCGCAGGCGTTGAGGTCTGTGGCCTGGGGTCCTTGTCCCCGTCAGGCACCAGGTACCACCAGTTGCCCGTGGAGATGCCATGTGAACATGGCTGTGCACACATGCCCGCACCTGTGCCCCTGCCCATCCCACGTGCTAGGAGATGCAGGAACCCAACACATGGAGCTAGAGAGACCCCAGCAGCACAGCCTGGTCTACTGGCTTACCACTGGCCCCTTTCTGCCCACCCAGTGCCCGAGATGGAGCCTCCGGGGGCCAGCGACAGCGATGGCATCAATGCCCTGTGCACTCAGATCAGCTCGTCCTTTGCCAGTGCAGGAGCTCCGGCCCCTGCGGCGCAGCCCCCGCCGCCAGCACCCGCAGGAGGTGAGCCCTTTCCTCCACCCCCACAGGGTACCACCCCACTTCCCTCTGCTTGGGGCTGGAGGGTTGGGTCAGAGTGGCTCTGGCACAGGTGGCCACCACATGCCACAGCCCCTCGGCAGACAGCAGTTTAGACCCCGTGGTCTAGCTTCTGACTCCTGACTCCCAACTGCCTGCTAATGCAAACCCAGACCTGGGGAGGTAGCAGGTGATAGCTCAAGTCCCTGGGGGCCTGCCACTCAGGAGGCAGACTCCGTATTGAGTTCCCAGCTTGGGCCCAGTTCCCTGCCACTACAGAAAGTGGACTGACTTGGGTAAAGCTCCCAGCCCAGGTGGGCACCACTGGAGACGGGCAGAGCTGGAGCCTGACGCAGCATCTGCTCCAAGATTCCCACCTGGGGGTCCTGCCCCTGCAGCCTGTGTCCTTCATGTGCCCTCCCGTTTCTCTCCAGCCACTTCTGCCTGGGGTGAGCCCTCCATGGCCCCCGCAGCCACCTTCCAGCCTGGGCACAAGCGGACGCCATCAGAGGCTGAGAGGTGGCTGGAGGAGGTGTCTCAGGTGGCCAAGGCCCAGCAGCAGCAGCAGCAGCAGCAGCAGCAGCAACAGCAGGCAGCTACTGCTGTGCCTGCTGTGCCCACCATGCCTACCATGCCCACCATGCCTGCCATGCCTCCGGCCCTACAGCCCTTCCCCGCTCCCATGGGGCCCTTCGACGCGGCACCTGCACAAGTGGCCATGTTCCTGCCGCCCCCGCACATGCAGCCTCCCTTTACCCCCGCCTACCCTGGCCTGGGCTACCCGCCCATGCCCCGGATGCCCGTGGTGGGCATCACACCCTCGCAGATGGTGGCCAATGCCTTCTGCTCTGCAGCCCAGCTCCAGCCCCAGCCCGCCACATTGCTCGGCAAAGCTGGAGCCTTCCCGCCCTCTGCCCCACCCAGCGTCCCTGGCACCCAGGCCCGCCCACGTCCCAGCGGGGCACCCTGGCCCCCAGAGCCTGCACCCGCCCCAGCGCCTGCGTTGGACCCCTTTGAGGCTCAGTGGGCAGCTTTAGAAGGCAAGGCCACTGCCGAGAAACCTTCCAACCCCTTCTCCGGCGATCTGCAGAAAACCTTTGAGATCGAACTGTAGCCTGGGCTGCCCTGAGCTGCCCACACCTGGATGCCCTGCATCCCTCACCACCCCTGTAAACCCGTCTCTCTGTTGCCCCCCCAACACCCCACAACCACCACAAAACTGACGCCCAGCCTGCAGCAGGACGGGGATCTGGGACCCAGGGCCGCGCTGCGGACATGCACTGCCAACCACTCCCCACTAGACGCAGGTGGTGCCCCCCAACCCCGGCCCATCCACAGCGCCCCCCCAAACTCCCATCCCCATTTCTGTTGTTGAGCTTCAGCCAGCCCTCCAGGGTTGGGCAGGTTGCAGGAGAGATGCCCGTCCCCGCCCCTACACAGCACAAGCTAAAGGCGTCCTTCTGCCTACAGCTGCGTTCACTGCCAATGCTGTGCCCACCCTAGTGGCCTTCCCCTGGCCCGCGGGCGCTAGTGGGGGTGGCGAGGCTGGAAGGTCATGACTGAGGCCCAGAGGCGGGGGAGGGGGAAGGGGAAGTTGCTCAGTTACCTCACATGGGTGCCCGCTGGGGAGGGGGCCAGGAGGAAGTGGGAGGGGTGCCTGGCGGGTGCTTTTCTATCTTTTATTTCCAGATTTTTTTTGTATCTAAACTTGCAGATTTGTATTATATAAGGACAGTCAATAAAGGAAGACTATAACGGTGCCCTCAGGAAGACAGGGTGTGTCTTGAAGGGGACCTGGGAGCAGGTGCCGCAGTCAGCACCCGCTGGGTGGGTGATGAGGCGTGTATGGGATGGATCAGCCCGTTCTGCTTCTCACAGACCAAGAGCCGAGCTCCTGCTCTCTAGTTCACTATCAGCACAGTTACCCTTCTGATGGGACCTGCAGGTTCTCACTCTGCCAGCTGGGTGCTTGGTACCAAGAGACTGCAATGGCCAGAGATGAGCCGATCCAAAACCAGAAGCCAGGAGCTTCCTCCCAGTCTTCCTCGCAGTCCCCTGGAGCACGGCGGGACAGTGCCCCCGTGTGGCTGTGGAAGTTGTGGCGAAAACATCTGAGCAGCTTACAGCTGACTCCAGCCTTGAGTTGGGCAGAGGCAGTCCAGGCCCCAGAGTCACCCAGGGACCAGCTGCCACTGCTTTCCCAGGCACATTAGCTGGGAGTTGGATGGAAAGTGCAACAGCCGTGACTCAAATTGCTGCTCCTAGAGGCTGTGGCATTGCACCTGCTGCTGCAGCTGATCCAAGTGACTCACAGTCTGTCCCCAGGGACTTCAAAGTCAGCCTGGGGGAGCAACTAGTGGGAAAGCAAGCTCCCCCTCCCCCAACACACCCATCTGTTCATGGAGCCCTACCATCTGCCAGGCACCATGCTAAATCCTAGGGATGCAGAAGTGGGAGGGTCCCTACCCAAGTGTGCCATCATGGCTGCTGTGACAACCAGTTACAAATGAAAACAAAGTGGAAGGGGACATGGACAGGATGATCTGAGAGGGGAACAAGCCACATATGGGTGTGGGGGAGGGCACTCCAGTGTGTGGCCAGGGATCCAGACCCAAGCAGGTGAGGTCAGAGAGTACTGGGCATGCCAGGCAGGTGCAGCTTGCCTTGCAGTATGGGAGCTGCGGGAGGGGTTCTAGCAGCTTGGGGTTCTGGCTGTCTTTGTAAGGGTCGGCATGGTAACACAGGGGTCTCAGCGTGCGTGTGTTCCCGCTGCTCTGCTTCTTGTCCCATGTCCTGCTCATGCACCCAAGGAAAGGCCCGACTATCTGAACCCAGATATGGAATTCGGGTTCATGGCTTCAGCCAGGCCCAGCCAGGCCCAGCCAGCCCAGGGTGTTGCTGCCATTTGGGGAGTGAACCAGCAGGTGGAAGATCTGTCACTGTGTCTTTCAAATAAAAAAGCTTCAAAATCCCTTGAAAAATATAGAAGGTTTCTTCTGTAAAGGCTGTGACAGCAGCAGCAGCAGGCAGTTGAGGACTTCACTGTGTTTAGGACTTTGTGTTCATCCACTCCTCCAGCAGGTCTAGAAGGCGCCCCCCATGACTCTGTCCTTGTTACTGGTGGGAAGCAGGGCCACGAGGACAGCCAGGGATTTGCTAAGAACGGAATTTGAACCCTCCTGCCGACCAATCACCTACCTAGTAAGGAACATGTGACTGGGCTTGCCCACCCTGGACACTCCCTTTTCTTTTCCACCCCACAGGGCCCCAGTGATTGGCTCTGGCATGGCAGGTGACCTCAAGCAGCCCAGTGAGAGTCAGCCTGATGATTGTAATGGGAAACCCAAGCAGCGGGGAGGGGTGCCCTCCTCAGCTTTGTGGAGGTACCCGTGAGGTCTCCCCCAGTAGGAGGCTGATGAGGTCACCACCTTGGGCACTCCCCCTGGAAATGCTGAAACCTGACCGACACAAGCAGGGGCCTGTGTTGGGCGGTGACTTCAGCAGAAGCCAGGGCTGTGTGTGGATTTTCCAGTTACAAACCCCTTGGAGGCTGCAGCACCTTAAGCCAGCATCCCGGGGAGTCAGCAAGGCAGTGAACACTAAGTGCCTTGGGCACTGACCAGCCCAGGGGGAGGGGAAGTTCACTGCCCTGCCTTGGGGTGAAGCCCTGGGGTAGGGGTAGGGGGGGTGGGGGGGACCAGGGCAGGTGCAGTGACCATCCTGGGTGACCGTCTTAGGACTGATTTGCCAGTGACCACGGAGATAGCCCAGCAGCTTCCCAGCCAACAAAAACTCCTCCAAGCTGAACCCGCCCCTCTGCAGCTGGGCTCTCTGCCCCTTTCAGTCGGCCAAGGCTCACCCCGGCCCGAAAAGATGAAGTGGAAAAATCCAGAAATAAACAATTCATAAGTTTTGCATGCCCTGCCTTCTCCCCCACCCCAAGTGTGTGTTTGTTTATTTGAGAGTCAAGGAGACAGAGAGAGGGGAAGCGGAGTTCCCATCTGCTGGTTCACTCCCAAATGCTCCCCCCATCTGGGCTGGGGCTGGCCAGACATGGTGGGAGCCCACTGGTCGGCCCTGGCAGCCACCCCTTGCAGTCTGTATTGGAGCTGGAGCTGGGCGTTGAGCCCAGGCACTCTGCTGGGCCACTCAGGTGTCTTACCTGCCCAAGCCGCACACCTGCTACCTGCTGCCCTGAGTAGCGGGGTGAGCCTCCCACCTTCCTGCACTGTCACCCCCTTTGTTCAGCATCCCCACCCTACACACCATTAGTCACTTAACCAAGCCGCTGCCTGGTATGGGGGTGCTTGCATATAAGGGCTCAGTACCATCCAAAACCTCAGTCACAGTTGGGGTGGGGGGACACTTCTGTGTTAGCCAGCCCCCTTCCTGCCCTCCGCCCCTGCCCGTGAGCCGGTCTGTTCCCCCTCAGCTGAGCTCCTTCACCGAACCGGAGTCGTGAATTAGCCATGGCAACCATATGAGGTCATCCCGACTTGGGGTCAGGCCGAGAGATTCTGGACTCGCGGAGCTGCCAACAGGGTCCGCGCCCTTTGGCGCAGAGATCCCCTCTCGGGACGCACCGGGCCGCGCACGGGGCCTTGTTTCTAACGAGGAGGAAATGGGGAACAGCTTCGATGTCTGGCAACGCCACCCTGCTGAATAAACAGAGCACAAACACTAGAGGCTGTGTTTACAGCGTGAGACAAGGGGAGGCTCCCATCGGACGCGGAGCGGGCAAACAGGGGGCTTCAAAAACCATCCATCGCTCGCGCAGTTACGTAAGACGCGCGTGCAGGCGCACACACGCACAGGCAGGTGCACGCACATCCTCAGGGGTCCTTGGACAGGGATGACGTCAAAGGGTTCACAGCCATGGTGGCGGGGGTGAGGTGGGGTGTGTGCGTGTTTGGTTTGTGTTTCTCTGCTTTGTCTTTCTCCCGTCTTGGGCTCCTGGATGGTACCAGGTCAGCAGGTGCACAGTGTCTGACCTTGGCCTGAGCCCTCTTTCTAAAGCTTCAGTTTCTTCATCTGTGAAGCAGGTGCCACAAGGACCCCAACAATCAAGGAGGCCCTTGGCAATGGCTGCGCTCCTTCTCCCCGTCCCTCTGTCCAGGCCCTGAGACCACCGAGTGAGCACAAGGCAGCCTGCGCCCCAGCCCCACCTCCTCCCTGTCTCCCACCCTGCCCTTTCTCATCTTTGCTGCACTCAGTGCCCCTTCCGCAGGGCACAGCCCCCAGTGCCTCCTGCCTCCTCACCACTCCCTCACTGCACACACACCTGCTGCCCACCTGCATCTCTGCTCTCCTGTTCTCAACCCCCCACGTCCGCCGATCCCAAAGCCTGCCCTGCACCCCTCTCATGAAGGACCCAGTAGCACCCAGAAAATAAGACTGGTAGGATCCAGGGCCAGCACACATTCCTTTCTTGAGCCTCGGTGATAAAACCTCACCAGTAACACCGAATGAAAAATAAACATGGCTCGAGAGAGAGAGAGAGAGAAAGAAGGATTTCCTGTGCTTATTGAAAAATTCCAAGTTTGAACTTGGTCCGTTGGTGACAGACTGGCAGAACAGAATGGCACAGAGCTAACTGTGAGGTTAGGGAGGGAGACCAGGGGAGATGCCAGGGTGCAGACTGAGATGCCCACCCATCAGGCTCCAAGCTGGTTGCGGGGGTGGGGAGCGCAGGCTGTTCCCAGAAGTGCTGCCCCTTGTCACCCCGCCTACAGGTGGGCACCATGGCAGGGCTGAGCGAGCTGGGACAAAGGCCCTGGCCACCATGGCAATATGTGGGACCTCAGCAGGGTGCCAGGAACCGTGCTGTACCCCACCTCAGGGAGTCCTTCCAGGCCTCTGCCTTCCCTCCAAGGTTCTACCTTCTGCCAGCAGGGGTGGGCTGGGGATTTTACATCAACAGAATCAGAAACCGTGTCCTCCTTCACGTCTGGTTTTTCTCATCCAGCGCTGTGAACCCAGCTCATGGCACTTGGCCAGGGCCAGGAATCCACTGTGGGGCCTGAGCTGGGGCAGGAGTGAGGCTCAGGTTCTGGGCCAATGTCCTGGGGTCTCAGTCTGCTGTCCTACAACAGCCACAAGGAGCTGAGCTGGCTGCAGTGGAAGGGAGGGGAGGGCGGGGTCAGGAGGGAGCCCGAAGCAGACGGGCAGGGCAGACTCCTGCCAGCCGTGAATCTGAGCAGGAGCTCAGCTGCTGGGGGAGCCTTGGTGGGCAGTGGGGCGGATGCTGGAGCGGGGAGCAGCCAGGTCTGTGTTCTTGATTGTTCCCGTGTTATAAGCTAAGGTGTTGGGCTCATTTTTCCTCCGTTAAGCTTCCTTGAATTGGGTGTTTTTTGGATCTGCTTGGGTGGAAGAAACTCGTTTTTTTTTCCCCCTCTGTTA